TATCGGATTCCTCGACAAAAAATACATATAATATGGGGTTTTTGAACTTTTTTTCAAGCCTACTTTGCGATACTTCTCAGGGCTTCCGTACTATCACCACTATATTTATATCAATTATTTTAAGAAAAAGTCATTTTTATCATTTTGGAAAGCTTTAAAATTTGTTTTTCGAAGATCTGACGATGGTTTTTTCAGTTTTTTAGTAAAACAAATTTATCTAAGGGTTGGGAGCGAGGTTTAAAAGAGTTTGGAAGTAAGGGACACCCTAATACACTATGACTGTGATCATATAAGTGGCTTTATTGAGTCACAGTGGCGAGGTGATGCTGCTTCGCAGTTCGTGCACGACTGCTGTTCATCGTCCGTGCTCGGCATTGTGTAGGCGGTGACTGTGTTACCGATTAGGTGAATACATCACATTCCAGTTTTTAGTATGAAAGCTTCTCATGAAATCTTTCAAGAAAACTTCCCATGAAAGATTCCAGACAGTTTTTTTTAGCTTTCGGGAAGCTTACACGAAAAGTTTTCATGGAATCTTTTTGAAAGTTTCCCAAAAGGTGTCAAGAAAGAATTCATAGAATAGTTTTTTCAAGGTTTTCAACAAAACGTTCGGGAAACTTTCCTAATCCTTCCCTGGATGCTTCCATAAAATCATTCTCGAAGCATCAATGAAAGCTTAAAGGAAGCTTTACGGAAACTTTCGACAAAATTTCAGGATGCTTTCCAGAAATATTCCATGGAAGTTGCTTCAAAGTTTTCTGAAAGGTTGCGAGAATGATTTCATAGAGTACTAAGAGAACGTTTTATTAAAGCTTTTTTTTGCTCGAAATCATCCATAACATAATGCAACGTCAATGACATGCAGAAAACAACTGAACGATTTGTATATCCATCGATCGTTAAAGAAATGAAACATCAATAATCTAGAAACACAAAAAAAAGTCGATGAAAAATTGAAATTAAAAATAAATGAAAATTATTATCAATTTCCAGAAACTATATGAGAGAAAGTAATTTATTCGTCATTGGTTTTCGTACAAAAATAAATTGCATACCTTTTCTCACTTCATTTTGAATTCGAACGATCAATTTCCCTTTGATGGAATCGTACATTTTCGGTATTATGGCGTCTGATATTTTAGAATCTCCCGATACGCTTCGTCGTCTTATCATAAAAGCTCTCGTTATCTTCATAATCATACTCGTCATCGTTCTCTGACGAAACTTCTTTGTCGTAAAAAACGTAATTAGCATCAATATTTTCCATTATTGTTTAATGGTAACTGACCACAAAATTAAAAAAAATTATCTATTTAATTAAAAAGTTAATATTTTAACTACGTAATGATCAAAATAATAGTTTACTTGTAAATATAATAGTTCTTCAAATCAGCAAAGCCAACTTTTCATGAACCACTGAACTACTTTCAGTAGAGGATGACAATAAGAAAGTATAAACTATACTTTCAATTGCAAATTGCAAAAAAATTCACTTACTGTAAGGGTTAAAAAGGCAAAAGAATGAGAGTCTTAGTTGTCGAATATTTAACCGTCAGAAAGGCTTTTATTGACTTTCTCTGTCAGCGACTGCTCAGCGACTGCTCAGCGACTGCTGGCCCGATCGGCTCGCTGGCTGTTTGTATACATTCATAGACGCGCGCCACGGCATACTCGCACGTATACCTTACAATTCGGCCAGACCTGACTGTAGTGCGTCTCGAACTACGATTTATTATTTACAAGTTTTATTGCTCGATTACATTTGGTTCTCGATGAGAGACTTCGTTCGGGCGCCAGGGTCTCATGTTTGCAGCTTCCCATACGCCCCGATAAGGACGTTGGCTCAGCTGGAAGTTCTCGATGTCGCCTAGTACATATCTATCGTTGCGCAAAGCTTTAATAACCTTGTACGGCCCTTTAAAACGCGGTATGAGCTTTTTAGCTACGCCTGGCGCCCTCTCGAAGTTTCTCACCATAACATAGTCGTCTAATTCGTATTTTGTCGACTCTTCTCTATTTTTATCGTAATGCACTTTGTTGTAAAGTTGAGCTTTTTCAATTTTCTCAGCTGCTGCAGCGCGTATCTTGTCTAGATTGCGCTCGCTTTCGTCATTCAGAGATTCGACATAATCCTTTACGGCATCTGTACTTTTTGTACGTTGATCTACGCCGAATAACAATTTGGCCGGGGTATTACCCGTAGATTTACATATCGTATTATTTAAAGCGTATTCAATGTCGTCAACGATTTTATACCAATAATTTTTTGTATCGTCGCTTTTTGTTTTTGCCAGAGCGGGTCCAAGTACTCTATTTACGCGCTCTACTTGGCCATTAGCCTTTGGTGATCCGGTAGCGATCTTAATGTGACGGATATCGTTTCCCTCAAGAAATTCCCGAAACTCGTCCGACGTAAAACAGCTGCCTCTGTCAGAAATTATGCATTTTGGCCGGCTATAACTGGAAAAATACTGACGCAGATGATTTATGGCCTCTCTACTTGCAGTCGTTTTGGTCGGGAAGAGTCTCGTGAATTTGGTGAATGCGTGTATGACCACAAGCAAGTGCTGCTTAATCGCGTGTTTTTTGTCGATTGGACCAATATGATCAATGTGTACGGTCTCGAAAGGGACGTTTCCTTTAGGGACAATATGCAAAAACCCTTCTGCCTTGCCCGTGGTCGGGCTAAACGCAATACATTTCAAACAGTCTTGAATATACGATTTGACTCGATTTTTTAAATTTGGGAACCAATAGGCCGACAATATAGACGTATAGGTCTTATCGACCGACAGGTGACAGAGATCGTCATGATGCTTGCGGAGCACATGAGTCACCATGCCCTCTGGAACATAAAATAATAATCTACCTTTATCTTTTCGATATACAATGCCATTACGCGATTCAAACAATTTGTGTTCGTTCTTTTCGAGGTCTTCTCTTATTTTCCTCATAATCGGGTCTCGACTCTGGCTTATAATTAGGTTGGTTTCGAAAGGATTTTCGTCAACTACGAAGACCCCGACGGCTCGACTCAACGCGTCGACATGCTGCATGCGAGAGCCCGCGCGATGTTCGATCTCGTAGTCGTAATTTTGTAATTCAAGCGCCCACCAAGAGATTCGCGGATTAATGTCTTTTTTCGCCAAAGTTAACTTTAATGAATTACAGTCGGTAACAATTTTGAATTTTATGCCAAACAGGTAGACTCGGAACCGTCTTAGTGCATATATGATCGAAAGGGTTTCAAGCTCGAAGCTATGATATCGACTCTCTGTATCAGTCAAGCGTTTAGAAAAATACATAACGGAATGGAATTTCTTATCTGACTTTCTCTGCATCAAGACGGACCCAAAGCTCACCGAGCTGGCATCACAGTGCAATTCGGTATCATGATGTGGATTATACAGACTTAAAATCGGAGCTTCCAAAAGCTTACTCTTTAGAGTTTCAAACGCGGTCATTTTTTGTTCATCCCACAAAAAAGGCGCATCCTTTCGCACCAGATCACAAAGTGGTTTGGCGATCGTCGAGAAACCCTCGATGAACTTCCGGAAATAGGAGCACATGCCGAGAAATCTCTGCACTGACCGCGAATCCGACGGTATCGGATAATCCCTCACCGCGTCCACACCTCGCGTATTTGGGCTTATTCCCTTTTTCGAGACCCTGCATCCCAAGTACTCGACTTCCGTCTCTAAGAATTTACATTTATCTAATCTCAACTCGATACAGTTCTCCACGAGCACCTCAAAAACTTCCTTCAAAACGGCGATATGATGATCTATCGTTGCAGTCGCAATCATAAAATCATCCATGTACGCGACGACGTCTCCGCGCCGAATAAATTTACCCAAAACATCGTTGATCCACGTTTGAAATACGTTTGGACAAGTTTTTATACCGAAAGACATTTTAAGGTACTGTAGCGGCATACTCGAATGCGCTACAAGTCGATGAAAGTCACTCTTGAGCTCACGCGTAGATATAAGTATTACGACGAGACGAACCCTACACACTATGCCCCTATCACACATATATGTTTTCCCACATACTCTTTAGCACCCGAAACCTGGAGAAGAGAGAGAAGAAAAGCAACGAGAGCAGAACAAGACGACGAGACACTTATCACCAGACGTATAATATAAAGAACTATATGAGCAGGGAGGCCACTGAACAGCAACATAACTTGACAGGTGACAGGTTAGTTTGACACCTGCACCTCGGTCGAGACCAAGATCGCACAAACATCCAGCAGCAGACGAGTATTGAACAGCGAACACATACCAGCGAGACGCCTACAGCGTCGACACGTGAAATAAGCAGACGAGAATCATCGACCTATCGATCAATAATCGATCAGCGCTCGCGTGTCGCTTCAGACGACACGTGAGAACGACGAGTGCGACCACGTAGGAGTCGGCCATATATTACTACCGCCAGTCTGCCTGTACGCAACGCATGTGCGAATCGTGTCGTGTTCGATCAAAAGATAAAGCAAAGAAAGTAAAAGTGAACAGATCTTGAAAAGTGTGTCTCCATCTTCGCCGTATCCCTGGTGACGACGTTCAACTTCGAGAAAGCCGGCCACCAGAAATTGTCGACGAAGAAAGAAGACTTATCGTAAGCTAATCTAAGTATAACCTAGACGTATAAGAATACGAGCTCTCTCGCGCCGCGTAGTAGAATCTTCCCCCCCGTGACCCCGCGTCCCTCCGAGACTTTTTCGCGAGTGTTAATTGCTCTCCGCTAAGCTAGACGAATAATTGATTGTAAAAGTGACGACAAGAAGTATTGTATATGAAAACAAAGACGAAACCAGTTATCCGAATAAGATTACTAAATTATTATTATTTTATTACGTTGTATTTTCGGTCCACGTGCCGCGTTCACGTGGTGGCGCCCTAATTATCAAAACCAACGAACTGGCATCTATATGATATTTTCAATAAATTATTATCTCTTCATTTATTATTTAACATAACCAAACCGCATTATAATTATTTTTGAGACGCCCAAAAAACCCCCTTATAGTACTCGAATTCACCATGTGGCGTAACGAAAGCCGTGAACTTGATCGAATCTTCCGCGACGCGAATGTGGTGGAAACCGTTTTTCAAGTCTAACACCGAAAAATACGTCTTGCCTTCCAATGCATCTAGTTGATCCTCTATCAACGGCAACGGATTATTATCGCGCAAAATATATCCATTTAGAACCTGATAATCAACGCACAGACGTATCTCCCCGTTTTTCTTTCGGATCAAGACAATCGGAGAAGCGTACTCGGACTTGCTCGGTCTAATTACTCCACTCTCCATCCACCCATCGAGGATCTTTGACACCTGCTCCTTTTCTACATAAGACAGTCGCCTCGGCGAAAAATGAAAAGGTTTGTGATCCCGCAGCGACAAGGACAGCTCGGCTTTTACCTTTGGCTCATGTGGTCGCTCTCGCTGCACATACTCGGTACGGAAAATATCACGCAGTTCGTTTCGTTTATTGACAGAGATCAATGGATTAACGCGTAGCATCTCGGTCGGATCTGTGTCACTTGAAAAATCGATATTCATAATAGTGTTCACTTCCAAATCTGATTGCGTCTCATATCTCACGCTTATTCCTAAAGTTTTGAAATGATCGCGACCGATCACCGCCGGAGATGCCATCGTATAGTCCTGTACAACTAAGAACAATATATTTTTGAATTCTCGCTCGTTGAAAGTTAACTCACAATGTAAATATCCTAATACGATTAAATTTATTCCGTTTATACCGCGGTAATCCTCGCTAGCTCGACTGTTTACTTTCATCGATTCGATCGGAACGTGTTTCTCCTTTATAAAGCTTACCGCGCTGCCCGAGTCTATTAACGTTCGAAGCCGTACGTTATAAAATTCTCGCTGGTCATTGTTATTATTTAATTCCATACAGTACTCAATATTTTTGAAGACCTCGTCTTCTGGCTGATCTCCGCTGTCCACGTTGTTTACTCGCTCGGTAGACTTCTTCTTCTCGCTGTTTTCCGGACAGTTCCGCGCAATGTGTCCCTCGATGCCGCAGGTGTAGCAGGTTGGCTTCCCTCTCTTGATCTGGTTGCACTCCGCCTTGGTGTGGCCTTCTTGGCGACAATTGAAGCATCGTATAGTCTTCTCTTGACTGTTGGGTTCCTTCCGAGGATTGTTACCATTCGTACTTGTTGCTTGCTTTCCAGAATAATTGCTTCTCGACAACACGATCTTCTCGAAGGCCCGGAGTATGTCCGTCGACGAAAAGAAATTGTGCAACCTTGCCTGGTTCCGCAGTTGAGTGTCTGGTATGCCCTCGATCAGGCATTCGATTAGTTCCTCCATTTCAACCGGCACTTTGTTCGCCAAGATGCTTTTATCGTGAAAGTATTCCGAGAAAGACTCACTCTGTTTCCACTTTCTTCCCTCCAAATTTCGTCGGCGAGTTAATTTGCTGACCTGATGGTGAAACATCGACTTCATAGTCTCCAGTAGCTCCTCTGTGTTAAGCTCCAGATGCTCCGACTTACAGTGGAACCATCTCTGCGCATTTCCAACCAACTTGGTGCCGATCAAGACTCTCGTTGTGCGATCGTCCAAGCCGTACGTCGTCCTCAGGAGCGTAAGCTGTCTCTGCCAATTCTCGAAGCACTCCTCTCCGTCAAACGTGCCAATCAAAGCCGATACCACTTTTATATCTGTCTTCACATGTCTTTCGGCGGGTGCCTCGTTCGGATGCTCGACGTTGCCGCGTCTAGCCAGCTCCAGCTCTCTTCGCATCAGCTCAAGCTCCCTCTGCATGAGTTCTCGCTCCCGACGTAGTATGTCCATTTCTCGGCGAGATACTCTTTCCATCTCTTCCTCGCTTTCCCCGACGTCCTGTTCGTCCTCCGAGGCTTCCAACCAGGATCCACTAGGGTCTGCTTCGTGTAGACGGCTAATCAACTCGTTCTTCGTCCCGGACGTTGGTAAGGCTCTCTTGTTCAGCTTTGCCTTCAGCTGTACTACGGTAAGATCTTGAGGTTCTGTTGTACGAACCATTTCACGAGGCTGCTGATATCGAATCCCACTTCTGATATTGTAAGGGTTAAAAAGGCAAAAGAATGAGAGTCTTAGTTGTCGAATATTTAACCGTCAGAAAGGCTTGTATTGACTTTCTCTGTCAGCGACTGCTCAGCGACTGCCCAGCGACTGCTGGCCCGATCGGCTCGCTGGCTGTTTGTATACATTCATAGACGCGCGCCACGGCATACTCGCACGTATACCTTACATTACGATAATTCAAATTAATTATAACTGTTATAGCGTCGTTGGATCTCTTTATCTAACGACCTAAGCAATGCCCACTAGCCACTAGCCTTTTAGATCACTTTCAAGTTATCTTGGTTATAAGGGTAGGGTTGTGTGAGTCGATGTGATGGTTATGCGTGTTATAACAGTATGTGCACTGGCACTTATTTGATGATTACTGATGCAAGTCAAGTACAACTGTCGGTAAGGAAGATAATTATTCCGTCCTCACAGGGTCAGGTTCTGTCAGGTGCTGAAAAGAACTATCGTTGGGAAGGCGACTATTCCGCGCATCGGCGATAAGTCTAAAGCCGCTGAATAGAGTTAACCGGATAGGAAGATAATTATTCTGTACCTGCAGCAACGAGCGCTGCTGGGTGCTAAATAGAATTATCAGGCAAGGTGACTATTCCGTGCTTAGTTTATGCACCTAATGCTGCTGAATAGAATTATTGGAGGTCGGGTGACTATTCCGTGCCTTGGCAATGAACCGAGTGCTGCTGAATAAAGTCAACCGGAGAGGAGAAAACTATTCCGTACCTACAAGGGCAAGTGCTGTTTGCTGAATAAAATTATCAGAGTGAAGATAATAACAAATAGATTGTTTAATAAGTAAATTTATTGAAAGTTATAACACATAGACGTGTTACGCGACACCTAGGCCAGAGCAGAGTCCGGTAGGTGCTCATCCCTTTTCCCTTCCTTTACCCTGATGTCCGTCGCGACATGATGATTTCGCAAGTCGATGCGTACACGAGGCCACTGCGAGCGAGAGTATATCGGGCAAAGAGAATACGACACAAGAGTGAGGGTCACGTGACCGAGACCGTCTGTGCTCGTGAGACTACCACCGACGATGATGAGAAGCAGACGACACTTCTGGCGCCTTGGGCCTGTATGGCAGGTTTGTGAGCAGCGTGAGGAACTCTGTCTCTGGGAGCCCTATAGCCCGAACGTGTGTAAAACCGTCCATCTGTGACACTCTGCCTTGAAAACGTATAACACGCGAGTGTGTGTTAACTGCAGAGTTGCTGCCGAGGTCTGTCTTTCTCTGCCAAGGTCCTGCTACCGCTTTTCTTGGGTGCAGGTCACCCATTGTATTTGGCCATCCACAGCTCGAGTCCGCCAAAAGTAAGTCGTTTTTAAGTATTTGCCTGTCAAGTTGCGCTCTCTCTCCTGTCGCGAATTCCCGTAAATTCTAAATCCTTACCCTCCGAGTAGAGTCGTCATCTAGCTGAAGCTAACTAACTCGAGTCGTATTATTAAGCATTGTACTCTTTGTACTATATATTTAATTGTAAATGATTTGGCTTTTGATAAGGCGTCACCTCCGCGACTGGCGCCAAATAAATTACCTTATCGTTAAACCTTACTATTAAATAATACGCTTAATCATTGAGACAGTCCTGTCTCCTTTTCAGCATTCACAAAGATTGAACGGACCACATCTTACCCGGATTGGAAAAATCGTTACAAAGTAAATAAAAAATTTAAAAAAACATGAAAATTCATAAATGAAATAAGTACAAAATAAAAAAGTAAAAACCTAAAAACAAACCAGAAACAAGAAAATCAAAAAAAATAAATTTAAATAAAAAAAAATAGAAATCTAAATAAAACAAGTAAAAACTAAACAAATACACGAATCAAACAAGTAAAAGTCGAAAAAAACTAAAAAGTAGAAAATCAAGGAAAAGAAGTCAGGAAAGTCAGAAAATACCATCACAAGCATAGATGTTTCAGATCTAGTGTATGATCAATGAGTGCTTACTCTTGAAATCGTTCCATCTCATTGAGTTAAGTAATCAGAATAGTTTGTCTAGCATAAACACACCAGATGTGAAACATCGTTGATTGTGCTGATGTTTTCTGACTTTTCTGACCTTTCTTTTCCTTGATTTTCTATTTTTTATTTTTTTTTTACTTTTACTTGTTTGATTTAGATACCTATTTTTTGTTATTTAAATCCTTTTTTTTTTTATTTTCTAGTTTCTAGTTTCTTTTTAGTTTTTTACTTTATTATGAACCATCCGGTTCTAGGAACCCTTTTTTGTTAAAAATAGCAATTTTCGGCCCTTGAAGCTATCGCTTTCAATAAAAAAATTTGAGGTTATGTATTTTGATCGAAAAAACAAGAAAAAAAATTATTTTCGTAAAAAGAAGGGGTTTTGGCTTCAAAAGGTGCGTTCAAATCTCTGAAAAATTTGAGGTCACTTTTTTCAATGAAATAAAAAAGTGAAAAAATTTTCAAAAAAATTATTGTATTCTAACGCCGTATATGAATTTTTAAAATTTTCAATGATTTTTTCTGAAAGCCTGAAGCAATCAAAAAATCTGAAAAATCCAAGGTTGTTTGGATTATTAAAAAGTGTTTTTGTGAATTTTTCAGATTTTTTAATTGCTTCAGGCCTTCAGAAAAAATATAGATAGAAAATGGACGTTTATATTGCGGCGGTGCAAATTGGCCTTATCGGGTAAGGCCCAGCTCAAATGCCGTCGACAACAATTTTATTATTTGGGACCTCTGGTACTCACGCTGACTTCTCCGAGGAGATTCTGGGCCTTCCGCCGAGTTCGGGCCGAGCTGTTGGCCCCAGTGACTCACCTTCCGATTTAGCCGAGGAAATCTCGATTTGTCGCGAACTCCGAGAAAATCCGTATAATTCTGACAAATTACTCTACTCTCTGAAAAGAAGGAATCTGGGGAAATTTTCAACACGATGGTGAATTAATTATGACTCGCGATATTCAATTTCAAAATCTAGTCACTTTATTTAACTTCCAACATTGGCCACCAGGTGCGCTGGTGACGTTCTTGTTTGCCTTCCGGGGCCGAACCTTTGCTACGCGACGATAGGTTACGTTCGTGACTTTCTGCTACTGCTTGGCCAAAATGGCCGTCGCTACGTACGCGTGGTCGAACGAGCTCGGCCGACGCACGCGTGCTCTGCTCGTCGACCTATAGCCACGTGGCTAACTTTACGAGACCGCGTCTACGCCGCGCCGTACACCTGCGTGTTATTCGGACAGTGCGACACGGCAGTGTGCCGTTTGATCCACACACACACACACACACACACACACACACTGAGCTTGCCACCGCTGCGGTGACACTCACATGCACACACTCTCGATGCACGCGTGAGCACGATGACGCGATCGTGCACACGGGGAAAGCGGCCGACCACCTAAATAACTTAAATCTAACCTCTTCGCCGGCTCTTCCGTAGACGGTCTCCTTGGCAAACTCCTCTGCTGTCGTGGCCTTCGTCGTCTGCAATCACCGTGGCAAAATCTCTTTCTTTGGCCTAGGTGGCTTTCGGGTTCGGATCGGCACCGCGTATCTCGAGGCAGAAACTAGCCTCACTTTCTTGCGGCCGACCTTGGCGTTCACACTGTGCTTCTCGCACGACACTCGCACTCCGGCGGAAGTTTTTCTTGCCGGCGAGTTCTCTACACCAAAATGGCACAACCGCGAACTAGTCTGCGTTGTTTAACAAAAAGAATAACTTCTTTTCACTGGTTTGTTTCCGCACGTGCACACTCTTGCTCGGCTCGTGGTAATTGTGCTAATCCACGAATATATATGTAGATATATATATAACAATAATGACACAAATATATAATTATATGCAATGAACTTTATTAACTTATTTACTTTATCGGAGCTAATGCTCTTCCACCTCGCAGGACGTGTATCTCTGTAATAAACTCTCGACGCGCCACGCAAGCAATCACCAACAACGCCGTTGCTCCGGCAACCCACACACACACACACACACACTCACTCAGTTCGCCACAGTAATCTGCCTCGCGTGGCGTTGTCTGCCGCGCAGTAGATTGCGCAGTCGTCGCGTGACTCCGCTACTGCTCTTGTGCGGCCTGCGTGCTTCTGCTTGTAGGATCTCGATATGTAGACCCAATTTGTAGGCCTAGGCTTGTAGGATCTCGAAATGCGGCTTGTTGTCTTGGCGTCGGTGTTGCGTTCTCGGTCTGCTCCGCTCAACTTCTTCTTGGCCTGAAACCTAGGCTACGAGGAAAAATACGCGAAATCAATCATTCGTGCATACTCGCGACGAAGTGTTACATAATCTATGTAACTGATTCATAGGCACACGCAATCGGGGCATGTACAGNCCCAGCTACATAACCTCGCCACAATTACACAAATAGAAACAATATTCGGACTGACACACATAAACAATACACCCCACTACATAAACCAAGACGATAACCCAGAGACACAAACACCAGACCAGACGAATGACACTATCCACTCACAAACCACAACACCTACACAAGACGAGCTAAACACCAATACACCAACCCAAAACACTACACCAACTGAAACACACACCTCTCCACCCACACCAGAATCCTCAATAACCTTTACACAAATTTATTCAATACTCAAAGAGCCATCACAATTCACCGGAACCATACCGAAACAAAATATCAAAAAGAAAGTGCAGTTCGAACCCCACCCATTCGAAAATAGCCCAAGAAAAAAGGAGCGAATGATACTGCAGAAAAAGAGAGACGAAGAACGACGAGCATTATTGCAGAAATTCCCTAACATCGAAGCAGAGCGTACTCTCTTCATCCAACCACAAGTGATACCTCGAGCACCAAAACCGAAACAGACGTACAGCGACGAAGATTTCATCTTCCCAACACCAAACGACGACAGCAAAGACCCCAACACCGATCCCATTTTTCCAACCTACCCCACCTACACAAAAATCACCCTCACCCACTAAACACGACGACCACACAATCACCCCAATCCCAATCCCCTTCTTCCAACCCACACCACATACACAAAAATTCCCCTCACTCATCGAAGCAGTATGCCCCATAGACGACTACAACAACAACACAAAGAAACCGGACGAACGAAGAATTGGACAGGACGAGCTGAAGAGACAGTCAATAGGCAGAACTGCCGACTGCTGGACATGCCTTAAACCAGGCCACAGAGCTCGCGATTGCCCTGATAAGAAAAAAAAGTCAATCTGTTGGAAATGCGACAAGACAGGCCCTTTTTGGTACGAGTGCAGACAGGATGCAAAAGAAGACTTCTGCGTCACATGCGGACACGTAGGCACGACTACCGAGTCATGTCCGATCTGCCAGGAGATAGAAATCAGGAAAAGAAGAAATGAAATAAGAAGACTAAACGAAAACACACGAGACGTCCCACACACTCCAAGCCAAGACGCAACACACACTACCTCACAAACATACAGACGACCTGCCCTACTCCCTACTCCCTCCATGCCACCAGTATCCCCACAGACCACACAACACCCTATACAAACACTTAGAAAACCCGCACTACTTCCTACCCCCTCCATACCACCATTAACACCACAAACAAGCCGACACAACACCACCGAAACACAAACACTCACCAAAATCATGCCTCTAATGGAAGTCATTATCCCAGACGAAATTAAAGAGCAAGCCTTAAAATTACGCACACCGATAAACATATACATGACGAACACTACAATAAACTACAATGAGAAACAAACATAGACAGGAGAAAGAATCACACCAACACACCACATAAACACGATTACACACAAAATACACAACACGAACTGAAAACGAGGAATCAAAAGAAAGAAAAGAATCAAAGAGAATTAAAAGTATTTTTGTTTTGTTTAAGAAAAGAAAAAGTAGCAAAGAAACTGCTAATATTTTTTATTTTTGAAAAAAAAAGAAAATCAAAGAATCGATTTTGTAATTATTAATAATGAATCAAAGAAAAGTATTTTATTTATTTTGTTATTAAGCCTAATGGCCAAAGATTTTTGATTTAATAAGCCCGTTGGCAACATATAGATTTAGTTTGATAAGCCAAATGGCCAACATAGATTTAATTTTATAAGAAAAAAAAAAAAGTAGATTTAGTTTTGATAAGCCGATTGGCTCAAAAGAGTCCGTGTTTTTTTGCTAAAAAACCTATATGAATCAAAGAAAAAAGAAAAGTATGTTTATTTTTGTTTTATAATAAATAGTAATAGATTCCAATTGTGAATCATGGGTTATTTTTTTTTGATATGGCTCCCTTCCTGAATTTATGTATCGAGGACCTCAGACTTTATTGCAATTCAAGGTAAGATTAAGTAACAATTACAAGCGATTAACACTCCGCACGCGTGTCCCCGGTGCGTTAGTTTAAGGAGGGGGGAGTTTGTAGCGGCATACTCGAATGCGCTACAAGTCGATGAAAGTCACTCTTGAGCTCACGCGTAGATATAAGTATTACGACGAGACGAACCCTACACACTATGCCCCTATCACACATATATGTTTTCCCACATACTCTTTAGCACCCGAAACCTGGAGAAGAGAGAGAAGAAAAGCAACGAGAGCAGAACAAGACGACGAGACACTTATCACCAGACGTATAATATAAAGAACTATATGAGCAGGGAGGCCACTGAACAGCAACATAACTTGACAGGTGACAGGTTAGTTCGACACCTGCACCTCGGTCGAGACCAAGATCGCACAAACATCCAGCAGCAGACGAGTATTGAACAGCGAACACATACCAGCGAGACGCCTACAGCGTCGACACGTGAAATAAGCAGACGAGAATCATCGACCTATCGATCAATAATCGATCAGCGCTCGCGTGTCGCTTCAGACGACACGTGAGAACGACGAGTGCGACCACGTAGGAGTCGGCCATATTATTACTACCGAAGTCTGCCTGTACGCAACGCATGTGCTGGTCGTGCCGTGTAAAGAAAGAAAGAAAGAAAGCGAAAGAAATAAAAAGTGAATCTGATCTCGAAAGTGTATCTCCATCTTCGCCGCATCCCTGGTGACGACGTTCAACTGCGAGAAAGCCGGCCACCAGAAATTGTCGACGAAGAAAGAAGACTTATCGTAAGCTAATCTAAGTATAACCTAGACGTATAAGAATACGAGCTCTCTCGCGCCGCGTAGTAGAATCTTCCCCCCCGTGACCCCGCGTCCCTCCGAGACTTTTTCGCGAGTGTTAATTGCTCTCCGCTAAGCTAGACGAATAATTGATTGTAAAAGTGACGACCAGAAATATTGTATCTGAAAACAAAGACGAAACCAGTTATCCGAATAAGATTACTAAATTATTATTATTTTATTACGTTGTATTTTCGGTCCACGTGCCGCGTTCACGTGGTGGCGCCCTATTTATTCAAACCAACGAACTGGCATCTTATTTGATATTTTCAATAAATTATTATATTTTCAACTTATTATTCAACCTAGAACAATTTGTTATAATTATTTTGAGACGCCCCAAAAACCCCCTTATAAACTGGCGCCCATTAACGTGGTGGTCTAGAATAACCTCATTTGCAAGTATTACACACTCTTGGTGGCAGATAAGCATGTTGCTGCTACATAGATAGGTTATACGCAGAGAGCTCGTAACGCGTAGTCTTACGATACTTATAAGATACGTTGTACTACTGCTACCTCTATTGTAATTGAATGCAATAATCTGAGACCCTGGATAACTACACCCTAATTAATCAAGCTGATTAATTAACAATTAAGTAAAATTAATTAAAAAATTAATTGAAGAGAAATTAAAGTAAAGTTTTTTTGGAAAGCAAATTTTTTTGTGTGAAACAGAAGCATAGTAACCTTGATTTACTGAGACGAATTTTTTTTTTGGAAATAAGATTTTCTTCAGTTGATTTCTTTGAAATCAGGAATTTCATTGAAATTGAAATTTTTTTAGAAACGAACGCTCTACAAAAATAAACTTTTTTTTTTGAAATTAATTCCTAGATGGAAATTTCTTTCAAGAATTAAAGTTGTTCAGTAATAGAAAATTTCTTTTTCGTCTCTTACATAGATTTTTTCTGAAAATTGAATTTTTTTTTCTCTCTCCCTCCCTCGAAAATTTATACAGTAGTACAACAACAGAAACAAACATACAAATTATATATTTTTTTTATAGTACAAAAAATTTATGCATTTGAATTTTTGTTTTTTTTTCGATTTTGATTCTTTGTACCCCAAGACGATTCCATTTCACAAACACACACAGCCCTACACACGACACATTATAAAAAATTTTTTTNAATTATTATATTTTCAACTTATTATTCAACCTAGAACAATTTGTTATAATTATTTTGAGACGCCCCAAAAACCCCCTTATAAGCGTCATTTTCAGAGTTATCGTCCGACGAAAATTTTTGGAAGAGAGCGAAACAAACTTGCTATCGTTATATAACTGGATGTTTTTATTTAACAAATAAATTAATAAAGTTAAGGACTGAATTTACTTTAAACTCAAACAAAATAGATTAAAAGTTCATGAATATCAAATATTTATAGTAGCACCGATGAGCAACCTTCATTTGCTTATGATATACACGAAAGTTTGCAGAAATTAAATCATAAAAATAGTCCGTTACTTCATTTAGGTACGGTGCATATTTTGACGAGATGCATTTTAGCTTAGAGAGATAAAAAGTATTCAAGCTAAATATGTTTAAGAATTCGTTAGTTTCTACGGAACTACTTCAGCTTTTCATGAATGTAATTAAGTGTTTGAAGTTATTAACTCGTAATTATACTACGGCAAAAATTAACTAAATTTTGGATTTCTATAATTGGGCCTACTGATAAGCCGGCTCAATGGTCTAGGGGTATGATTCTCGCTTTGGGTGCGAGAGGTCCCGGGTTCAAATCCCGGTTGAGCCCATTTTTTGCTGGAGAAATCGGTATTTTGACATCAGTAATGTTTTATACCGTTAAGAAAAAGCTTTTGACTTTTGTACGTCTATTTTGGGTCTGATGATAAGTTCGGCTCAATGGTCTAGGGGTATGATTCTCGCTTTGGGTGCGAGAGGTCCCGGGTTCAAATCCCGGTTGAGCCCAATTTTTGCAGAAATCGGTAACGAATTGCTTTCACTTATCTTTTATATCGTTACAAAAAAATTTTGACTTTTGTTCGTCAAAATTGGGCCCACTGATAAGATTGGCTCAATGGTCTAGGGGTATGATTCTCGCTTTGGGTGCGAGAGGTCCCGGGTTCAAATCCCGGTTGAGCCCAATTTTTGCCGAAGAAATCGGTATTTTGGCATCGCTTATCTTTGTTCATTTGCAATCAATTTGTGGAGTATGCTGTTACATTTTGGGCCTTATGATAACAACGGCTCAATGGTCTAGGGGTATGATTCTCGCTTTGGGTGCGAGAGGTCCCGGGTTCAAATCCCGGTTGAGCCCGATTTTTTGAAGAAATCGGTAACATTTTGCTTTCACTTGTCTTTATACTGTCAAGGTGAAAGTTGTTTTACATTTTATACGTCTTAAGTGGGACTGATATGATAACGGCTCAATGGTCTAGGGGTATGATTCTCGCTTTGGGTGCGAGAGGTCCCGGGTTCAAATCCCGGTTGAGCCCAGTTTTTTGCCTAATTTTTTGATTTTTTTATTTCGGTCATTTTGACATCAATTATGTGACAGTTTTGTAATCTTTATGCTTCAATCTTGCTTACTCCGATAAGACCGGCTCAGTGGTCTAGGGGTATGATTCTCGCTTTGGGTGCGAGAGGTCCCGGGTTCAAATCCCGGCTGAGCCCAGTTTTTGCTTTTTTTTATCATGTTTTTTCTTTTCCATTTATTAACTTTAGATCATAGTTCACAAACTCATTCGCGTAACTCATTGAAATATTTCCGTTATTAATGGTTTTCCGATCGTACAAGTAGAAGTTATGCAAAGCTAACAAATTAATGGCATTGATTGCATCAATTTATTTGCCCCGCGTGCAGCACACGTGCATACAATTTATTTTATACGTATTACTTAATTGAACGTACAATTATTTAATTCATTTATTATTTTTGATTATAACCGATGTGTGAAATTGCAACATATTATTTACATTTTACAATTAAAACGATACAATAACTCGTGATACGTGCGTCGTGGTTCTGACGTTTGCGCGAGATTTTCAAATATTTTCGCTCGGCAAATATATATTTTTATGGAAACAATTTTGTATTGTTGCTTCGTGCTTTTGCCTCATGGAACTGATAAATTTGAAAAATTCCGAGCAAAAATAACGCGCTGAAGCATTTAGAATACAGCAAAAACCAGCATATATTGCTTACAATAAAGTCAAGCGCACCACACACAATGCACATTGCACGTATATATATGTACTATATATGAATTCGTGTGTGTGTATGTATGTGCGAGCGAGCGAAATTTCCTACTTATTTACTTCAACCGCTTTCTTTTACCGCATACAGAAAGAGAGTGAGTGAGCGCGCCCATATAAGCACTTGTGTCGAAATTCTACTAATGAGACCTAGTTTCAAAAAAGAATTCGCCTCGCTTGGAGGGGGTAATATACACAATGTTTTCTCTCTCTCTCTCTCTTCTTTCTCTTGCTCCGCGCACAGCTCTATAAAATACACAAAGTCAAGGAAAGCGAAGCTTCTTTTCTTTCTTAAAAAATGTTTTTTTCTCCACTTTCTTCCTCTCTTTCTCTCCCCTTTTCTCTCTCTCTCCCTTCTCCCACTTTGCAAAGCTCGCAGCTTATAACGTCGCTCCCGCGCTTGCCGTGTACCAGATTGTACATGAAAAAAATTGTGTCGCTGCATTTAAGTCGCGCGCCTAAAAAAGAAGGGAAAAAAATCAATGGCTAGTGGCATATGGCGCGCGTATTTGAATGAAAACTGCCTGGAGAAATTTTTGCCGCTTGCCAGCGAATAATGTAGAGTAAACTACGCACGTGTACGTATTCGCGCAAGTTCGGACGCTCTGACAGGCTAGACAAAAGTAAAATAAAGCTCGGCACATACACACACGTATGCACGTGGAAAGCAGCTCAGAAGCAGAAAGTTTAATTGAGGAACAGGAACGGAAGAAGAAAGAGCAGCAGTCGGACATTCGCTCAACATAAATTCTCTCCTCTCTGTGTAGATACGCAGCCCGAGAAATTCCCGAGCTTTCGGATGAATGCCTTTCTTCTCTCTATATACGCGCGTTTGTATGCTAGGGCTCGCACGCGACTCGTCACAAAAGCGTTAAAATATACTCGCACCTCGTAGTCGCGCGACGCGTGGCAGTCGCTTTCGATCGTAAATTAGCCCCAGTTTAGCTGCGCTTGCGAAAAATAAAAAAAAAACAAGTGATAACTTCGATATATAGTCGCCCCGCCTGCCGATTATTTTAGAGCGAGAGAGCGTATAAATTCTGCGCATTTCTGTTGTAAAGCTCTCTCTCTCTGTCTCTCTCTCTATCGAAGTACTTGTGCACAACGCGACGCTCGACTTGATTAAATCTCGGCGCACTGCACGACGCGCGCTGTTATATATCGATCTAATTCGCCTATATATACCTGCAAGTGTGTGTGTATGTGTGTACCGCCGATGAAATTTTGAACTTGGCACTAACAGCCTCGCACACACGTATTCGTGAAGCGCGCATCTATCGGATATTAAACTCTCTCTCTCCGAGCGTGTGCTGCTGCTGCACCTATATGCATATATTTACATGTGTCTGCGTATATGGAGCTTCGCAACGGGGGAGAGAACATATCCTATTAATCAATGACGCGGAGAGCTGTTGCGCGCACTCGAGCGCGACAGAGCGACGGAGAGCGAGAATCAAAAATTATTTCTCTGTGTGTGTTTCTCGACTGGATATTATGAAGAGCTATGAGGGCCTATACGATGCCATAGGCCTGTTCTATCGCGTTAATTGCTAAGACAGACGAAACTATGTACGAAGAATAGAGGCTCGCTCTTTGGGGAGCGAAATGAAGCTATGCAAAGTTTGCTTTGGGCTTTCAAGAAAGCAATTAATCAATGCCCCATTACATTGCTATACAGAGCGCCGCGGCACACAGTCTCGGGGCAATAATTTCCTTTTCTCTCTCCTCCCTCTCTATATCCCTCTCGTTCTCGCTCTCTCGCTCTCTCTGTGTAGGCAATAACTTTGAGCAGGAGTTTGAGGAAAAGAGGAAAACACACGTACACGCGTGCATTTTCGGTTTTCGCCGCCCAGACGAGGGAAACACACTCGAAGTGTGTGTGTGTGTGTGAGGTATATTTTTACATACCGAGGCGCGTTGTGTCTGCATGACGAATGTGTGTTTCACGTTCGCGAGTTTGAATCAACTTTGACCTACTTCATTCTCGTTATACATTTACACACGTGCACACACAGACACACATGTACCGTATGTGTCAGTTTATAATACAAGAATGTAAAAGTGAGAGAAACAGAGAGCAAACGAGAATGAGGGAGGGAGCGACTACCATTATTCTAGTTGATGAATTTTGCAAAAGACTGGCGTGACGTGGCCGCGACTATATGCAAGCTTGTGAAAAAGCTCAATTTTTCCTTTTTATTCGTTCTCTCTAGCTCGCGGGGGGAAGAGGGTGCATTACAATATTTGCCCGAGAGAAAGAAAGAGAGAGAGAGAGATCGATCGGCCAATGAATAAACCAGTGTCACATTATATCGAATCGAGTTGGCATAATTGATGCGCGATCGTTGCAAAAAAAAAATAATAACCGATTTTTTTTTTCTGCTTTTTCAGTGCAACGCAGCCGTGGGCGTGAAGGCCTTTTTCGACATGATGCACAGCGGTCCACACAAAGTCATGCTGTTCGGAGCGGCCTGCACGCAAGTCACCGATCCCATCGCCAAGGCCTCGAAACACTGGCGTCTCACTCAGGTAAAAATATATTGCGCTGCTCTTCTTTTTCTTCTTTTTATATTCTCCTAACATAAAAATAAATCTTCGTCGCTGCCGCCGCCGCGCGGATATCTCGCCTCGTTAGCCTCGCATATACATACATACATAGTAAATGTGTATGTGTACGGTATGTACTCACGCGTTCGCGCTGGAAGAATATTACAATATATCGATTGGCCTGCTGTATAGCGCGCACCGCTGCACGCTCGAGGTATTTTTTGCACTCGCGAGCCGAGGCTCATTTTTGTTTATAAATAGCGCGAGCTTCTGTGTGTGTGTGTGTGTGTGTATAGATTTTTATCTGTGCTTTCGCACACACAGAGAGCAGCAGCAACTCCGCAAGCCGGTTAAATATTTATTAGCGCTAAGTGATCGTCTTTTTTATTTATACACCGCACGTTTCAGTGGTTTTCGACGAGCCGTTGTGTGTGTATGTACATACAAAATAATACAAAAACCGCAAGGCTTGTCTATGCAGCAACTGTAAATACCGCTACAACATGTGTGCGCCCAGGCAGCGTGTAAAATTGCCTTCGTATACCGCGCTCGTGATGTATTTAATTAAATGTAAAATTGATGCATCAGCCTGGCCACCCTCGTATTGTTAACGATTGTTTTTTTTTGTTTTTTATTTTTTCATTTATTCAAACTCGCAGCCATTGAATATTAAAAGATGTTTCGAACAATGCGTGTGGCTGCGGCAATGAATGAGTCAGGAAGAGCGAAATGAGCTCTCCGGGAAAATGTAACAACGCCGCGCCGTTGTAATACACAAGTCGTTCGTGTATAAGATGATGATCGAGTTGAAATAGTGCATTGCTTCCGTGTCATTGCGGGTTAGCGCGGATTACGTCACGAGCTCGTAACTCGTAACTCTCGTAACTATAAGTGCATCACCGAACAGCTCGATATAGCCGAGACGAATGTCTTCGAATCATACTCGTCGTTTCGCGTCTTATTGCTTCTCAAATTATATGAATTTATTCCACTATAATCCGCCGCACATAATTGCCTCGAAAAAAATCCTTTTTTTTTATCTCGAAATGAACTATATATACAATAAGCTTTGTTAACGCACAGCACAACAGAAATGACAAGAATGCAGCTTTGATATACATCGGCTCTCTGTAATTGCGATAATATGTTTGCGCAGCGAAGCGTTACCTAACGCGAGGCTGAGAGAGGCAGGGAGGTGCACCTTTTGGCTGCATGAAAATTCATCCCTTGCGCAAAGAGGGAAATATCGAGCCGCTCTACACCGCAGCGCGCATACTCGCGTCCCGTGATAAACACACTACTCCACACTGAAATAACTGAAATTACTCAAAAAGAGAAAGGAAGCTAAATCAATTCTGATGGCGAATCAATTACCAAGCGAGAGAGCGGCCTGTTTTCATTCTACCGACTGGAATTGATACTGCTGCTGCTCCTGCTGCTGTTGGCTCACAAAGGTCAGCTCGTTTGGCACGGATGAAATGTTACGATAGTAGCAGCAGCAGCATTACCAGAGACGACCGGCCTTGGAAATAAAAATTCTATATCCTCTCGCGAGCTGATGTATAGATACGCGCGGAGCTATAGGGGCCACGAGACAAAATAAAATTATAATAATTCTGCTGTTATGTACGCGGCGGCGGCGGCGGCAGCGGATCGATCGAGCCGGCAGCAGCATCGACAAAATGCGACGATATCGCGCAGCGCAAAAAAAGTCGCTGTGTAGGCAAGATATCGCCTCTAGTCGCCCGTCACAGGCTATAATAATAGGGCTGTAAATTCATTCAGCCGCGCACGGAGCAAATAAAACGTCGACGCTCGAGTCGACGCTCTGATAGAAATACATTGGACTTTCGAGTAATTAGCCGCTCGTACGGAATTTCCTTCTCAGCAGCAGCAGCAGCAATCGTCCAGTCGCGGACATTTACATATAGATGGAGAATAAACACACAACGCGGAAGGCTAGAGAGTTCTGCACTTGAACCTTCGTTGACCCTCGTCCGCATAGTCGCCGCGTATATATATACATGCATACACGTTAGATCGTAGGTGACTATTAATAGTTTGCCCTTTCCGGCTATAAACGCATTTACACATCTTATCCCTTTGTCACGCCGTGCCGAGCTTCGTTTACGCGCGCGAGCGAGCCGCTGCCGCTGCTGCTGCACTATACTGATCGAGAGAAAATACTGCCTCTACAATCCTCCTCCTACTACTACATCCTCGGCTAGCTGCGCATATTTTTGCCGTAAATTAATCCACGAGTAAATTAATTTTTCTTCTTCCTTCTCTTTTTTTCCGTCCTTCTCCTCCCTTCGCTCGTTCTCTGTATATACATAGCCTCTTTCAAAAGCAGAAGCTGCTCCGTTATTGCTTTTTAATTGAAGATTCTATTGTTTTTAAATGACAATGAATTTACGAGAGAGAGAGGCAGGCAGTTATTATATTTTCGAGGCCACACAGCAGAGCTTGCGTGTTGTGGTGGGCGAGTCGCGCGCGCGCGGCAAATTTAAGAAAAATGTCTCGCGCGTGAAAAGGAAGTCGACTCCTTTGTTTTTCGTTCACTTGTAAAAAGGAAGCGAGCGAGCCAACATGAAAAAAAAAACGAGAAAATCAGAAACGAGCTGCAGCAATCCCCGGTGGAGCTAGAATACACACGTACACACACATGTACCCGATGAATCCGTCCGTGTAGATGTTATGGAGGGATGGGAGCAGAATGCAGAGGAACGACGATTCGCGCAGGGCCGCTCGGCGCACACTCTATGGTCATAATATGGGGTCAAATGCCAGACGATAATTTACGAGAAAGTTTACGAGGCTCGAGAGCGCATAGGACGCGGGCAGCAGCAGCAACGAGCGACAACGCGACGACGATAATAACGATAGAATGCCGTTACTAGCTCAACTACGCGTCGCCTCTCTTCGCCGTTACAGCCACTATAGACGCTCTACTCTGCTCTGCTCTGCTCTGCTCTGTGTTATGGCTCTTCGTATTATAACATGCTGCTGCTATATGTACCTCGGCAACATACCTGACATACCGATGATTATGTTTACTATTACTCTCTCTGGCTGGCTCGTATCTATTTCATTGCGCAGCGGCAAAAAAAATCAAGATTAACTGGACGCTGCTGCTATATATATAATACACACACGCCGACATACCTCGCCTCATCTCGTAATCGTGCTCCGGTATAATAGTAGTTGGCTTCTATATACCAAACCTGACTCCCCCCCTGCCATGGCAATTTGAAATTTTAATGAGTTTACGTCTCATAAATGAAATTCTTTTTCCCGAGTTTGAATATTAGATTTTCCGTGTATCATATCTGCGGTGTGCAGCAGCGGCAGCTCCTCGCGACGATCGAGTGTGGCAATTGTGACTGTTGACATTTTGACTTCTCGTTGAATCGCGCGCGGCATTGCAATCGCGTTTATGTACACTTTGAAAAAGCCTCGTTTTCTCGGCCCATATACAAACCCCTGTATATATACCTCTATACACGGCCGGGGCTGATGTTTTCATTTCGGAGAGCTCCTACATCTAATTACGACGAGGCTATATACTACTGCTGCTGCTGCCGGCTCGGCTGAAATTATATATCTCATCCGAGTGGATGTAAATTATTTTAATAAATCTATGCGCAAGGGATGAGATATACGTATATAATGGCGAAAAAGCGACCGAGATATTGCTCCGCTTACGCTATAATATCTGCATCGCAGCGGTAAATAAAACATCGGGTCGAAGGGGGGGACGAAATTACGCGCGCAATTAAGGAAACCTGAAAATCTTGAAAAGTGGTGCTCGCGATTCGCCAAGGAGTGTATAGTAGCTCTATATATATAATATATATATTGTACAAGCGTACGACAGAGTGAGAACGAGATGGCGCAGTAAAAGTGATTTACGCGATGTATTCACGCGTCCTACCTTTTTTCTTCGTGGGATATATAATACTATACGTACATATTATATAAATAACGACTGCGCGCTCGGTCGCACACAAAAGCATTATAAACTTCGCGGATCCATTCGAACGTAGACGGGCGACGGTGGCGGCGATATCGTGTCCCCCGAAACGACCGGACAAAAAGTTACGCAAGTACTTGAGAGAAAGTTCAACGAACCCGTTATGATCGCGGCGGCGGCTATATTCTGTGCGCGGATGGGCTATACAATCTGATTATGTGCCAATTAAAATTGATTTGTCTCTATATAGTATCTCGGCTCTTCGTCGTCGTCGACGACGTCGATCGATTCGATCATTGATTTCTCAAAGCCATACGTACAAGCTGATAGACGCGCTTTTGCTCTCTCTCTAGCTCTTTTATTCTATAACATATATACCTCACACACACACACACATACACACGTGTACAAGAGCACAGACACATGTTTACGAGATCTCAATCCCGATGCTGGTTTACTCTGGCAATTTGGCCCATTTACCGGGAGGACTCGACCTGAGAATCGCTACAAACGCTGCTGTTTATATATATACGAGGATTGAAGCATTTCATCGTCACAGCAGCAGCAGCAGCAGCAGCAGTGTGTGTACGTTATATATACTGTGAGCTGGCAGCTGCAGCAGCAGCAGCACGTGCTTTCACTCTGCCCTTTGGCTATTCCCATTTCTTCTACTTTACGCAGTCGCAGCTCTCCGCTAGACTCGTGCGACTCGAATTTGTTACCCTATTTGCAGGATCGTGTGCGGTGACATGCTCTCTCTCTCTCTCTCTCTCGTTCCCTCCCTACCCTCTCTTTTTTTATGATTTCGCGTCGACACAAATTTTCCTCGTCGTCTGACGCATACACACAGAGAGCGTCGTCGTCGTACACCCCCCGAGATTGTACATAGCGCGCAGAGCTTTCGAATTTTTTTATTTCGTCACCAACGACGTCGACGACGAGTAGTAGTAGTAGTAGTAGAAGTAGTAGTAGTAGTAGTCGCATAGAGAGAAGGGAAAATTTGAAATTACATCTCTGCGAGCTTGTACGCATTATACGCCCGCGCATACATATATATAGCTACTACGTAAGCGCTTAATCGAAAAGTTTTGCAGTTGTCGTTTAAAATTAAACTACATACATATACATTATATAATCTCGGTGGACTTGGCTCGCGTAATATTACGTTTTTGAATGTGACTTTCTCCGAGTGCAGTTTTACCCCCGCGTCATAAATTTCTTAATCGCGCGCTTTTCGGCTAATGCACTTCAAAATTCAAAACGTGCAAACAGCAGCAGCAGCCACGCGATTCTATAAATACAATACCGCTGCTACCGCTGACTATTCGTATCGCGCGCTGCCACGAACTCGTCGCTATAACTAGCTGGCCGCGTATACGAATAATCGATGCGCGTGCGTTTTGTTTTAGGTGCAGTGTTGGAGCTAGCTCTATGCCTAGCTCGAACTCGCGATTTCGGCGGTGCAGCGCCGAGTCGTCGACTGCCGCTGCAATAATCGCCGCAGCCTGTGCACATTTAATGCGCTGTCGATAATCAAGCACGTTTCGAAACGTTCGAACGACGGGGGGCGGGGGAGGAGGAGGAGATGCCTCGTTGTTTGTTATTTGACGCCTATCGGCTCGCGCGCGTCCACCGATATTAATGCAAAAAGACACAGTGCGAGCCATCGATCGCGCGCGTATACTATAATAGTCCTCGTGTGTCCCAGCCGATGCGAACGAATTTTAATTGCTATGCAAAATAACTAGTCATCGTGTGTCTAGCCGCTCAACGATATAGTACATATATACCAGCAGCACGCGCACATATATGTATGTCATGCAATTATACGTAATATCCTGCCTACCGTACAGTCCATCAGTTTAACTGCATAAATAAACAGCGGGAAAGCTGGTACGTATACCGTACATATAACCAGCCGCCCGCTACGGCGTTAAGTCAATCTTAATTTAATCATGGCCTTTTAACTATGGCCTCTTGCTCTCTCTCTCTCTCTCTCTCTCTCCTATACCTAGATCGTTATATTTACCATATATTTTACCCTATTAATTCACTTCTCTCTCTCTCTGCCTCGTACGAGTGTGCCGAGCATACGTATACATATATGCGCACACGAGCGTCTACTGCGCTAGCTCGAGAGAGAGAAAAACGCACATGTTTGCCGATTCGTTAGTTCAAGCTCTCGCTCGCTCTCTCTCAAAGCTGCTGCAAGCTCGAGGTATACTTATGAGGCTTTATTTTGCCGCCACCGCCGTCGCGTACACAAGAGCTTTGTTGAATTCAATGTGCGCGTGTGCGTGTAAAAGCGTCGACAGCTACCGCAGGACCTTTGTCTATCATATTATAAAAGACGCAAAAAAAGGCCCTTTGCCGGCTCGCTATTTTCTTTCTCCTCTTTTTTTCCTCCCTTTTTTTTTATGGATTAGTTTGCCAACGATCGGAGTTATGCGTACGAGTGTATGTGTGTGTGTATTGTGGGTACGAATTGTCCGACGCTCGACCTGCATATACGCACGCCTTCGTCTCTGTATTTTGACGCGCACGCCACTGCGTGTGACTTCTCTCTCTCTTATGGCTCTCGAAGCATTGTGAATTTTGCAGAATTTCACGACTATACCTCCCTTGTGTCGTCCAGCCCATTGCAAACAACAAAGCTTACCGCTGCTGGCTCGGTGTATTTTCGTGTTCCACGTACTGCTTCCAACTCGAAGTCTTTTTGATTTTATTCTCCATTTAGCGTAGTACGCAAAACGTACACATTTTTTGGCGATAACGCACTACGCCGTTTGCTCGTAATGTGAAAATTTACGCGGTGATCATCAAAGCCAAACCTCCCCCAAGAAAAAGGTTTATCCCGGTAAATGATTAGCCGTGTGCGTATAGTGTGAATACGTGGTAAAAATATCGATCCCCCGTAGCCGCACACGCGCGCGGCCAAATAGAAAAAAGCGAGGAATTTCAATGGGATTAAAGACGCGTGTGCAAGAGACCAAATGTAATGACTTTATACGACACTCGAGGACAAATGAAGGTAAAAGCAAAGAGAAGGGGGGGAGAGAAAAAAAGTAAAGGTAGAATAAGAGAAGAATAAAAAAAAGGAGGAGGAATGGCGAGAGAGAGAGAGAAGTTAATCCATTTCCAGTGTCGACGCCCTGTGCGCGCGACGCAGTGCGCGCACTAATTAATCCTTCATTAATTAATTAGTCAAAATGGGGAGGAGGAAAAGAAGAAAGGCCAAGTGGTATGTTCGAACTCTTATTTCCGCATCGGTGCGCGCGCCATACCCCCCGCGTGCTCGTTTTCAAAGCGCCCGCCGCCGTCGAGCTGCCGCAGCGCGTTTATTATGGGCTTCTCGCACGCAAATTCAGTGTCAGCTTACTACAAAGTCTTGTCAATGATCTTTACAGGATTTTAATTGTTATCGATTATAAGGTGTGCAAGTGTGTGTACTGTAAACGACAGCATATAGACACATAATTATCGTACTACGTCTCTGTCACGAGAGGCTGTAATTTTATTTTTTTTTTTTGCCGCTGCTGCTGCTGCTGTCTCGTTTGACGTAATATATTATTACGCCGTAAAGCTGCGACGTTTCTGTTATTTAATATTATTCTCACTTGAAATTCATGCTGCTGCTCCTTTCGACCTTATAAAGTTAAAAAAATAAGAAATAAAAAAAAAAAGGGCGAAATAATTGTGTTTCGCGCTGCTGCTGCAGCTGCCTTTTTTTCGTTCAACTTTTTCAAACTATACCGAGCTACGGTGCAAGACAGAGAGAGAGAGAGACACACACAAAGTCCTGTACTTTTTATTTTTAAGGCAAATAGATACGTATAAGCCGCAAGAAAAAGTTGAATAAAAAGGGAAAATCTTACGCAGGTCTCTCGTAGCAGCAGCAGCAGCAGCGCCGCTAGAAGAATTATACAATACCTGCGCGCGGCAAAGTTTCTTGCGTGCACGAGGCAAGGTAGAGAGAGTTCTGACATTCTAATGAATGCAGCAAAAGAGCGATTTATACTAAGTCAATTACCAAGAGACAGACGGGCGAGAGAGAGAGAGGAGAAAAAATTCCGCGATCGAACCGACGCGCACCTAGCGCGCGATGTGTATAATGGGTTAAACAGAGAGAGAGAGAGAAAAAAATGACGTCGACTTCGGAAAGTTTGCCGCGAGTGAGAGAGAGAGAGAGCGGCAAAATTACAAGGAACTAGAGCAAATAGACAGAGATGGATAATTAAGTATATGAAAGAGTGTAAATAATGGTTCGATAGAGACGTGCATTATTCCAAGTACATCCTCTCGTCGACGTCGTACGTTCTTGGTTGTCACACGCCGTGCAGGTACATCCTCCCTTTCCCGCATCTCATCTTCATCTCTCGACGCCTTTATAAGCTCCACTCGCAGATTAATTCGTGCAGTCGTCGCTCGTCATACCCCCTCACCCTCACCCTCGATGCAAGACGCATCGCTCGCAACCAAGACCATTAGTTTGCATACATCGACGAGCCAAGTCGTCGAGTTTCTCCCTTGTCTATGTGTTATACACGCGTCGCTCGTAAACTCGGGGGGGAAGGAGGGCGAATCGAGAGAGGTGCCTTCGATATAATACACACTCTGCTCGCGACGCGCGCGCGACGGGCTACAATTATATGGAAATTCTAGAGTTACGTCGAATGAGTTAAGGCGGAGAGGATTGTCGGATAATCGATACCGACGATCCCGGTCACTCGTATATAGATATGATTTTCGATGTATAAACTCGAATACCGGCGGGTAAAGAAGTCCGACGACGGAAGGGGGGGGTGGAGGAGGTCGCAAAGGAGGGACACAGATCGAGCCGACTGATTGCACGAGCTGCGAAAGCTTGATTAGATGACCGCTTCGAGTACTCTTCCCTGCATATACAGATATATATGTATTGCACGAGCTCGTGTACGGCGGGGTTTAACATATGTATACAAACTTTAGGCACACACAGCAGAGCAGCAGCAGATGCACCGAGGTCGACGATGCAGTAACCCGTTATAGTCTCGCGTGATATATATATATCGTGCGCTGATTTCTCCTTGCCGCTGCGTTAACTTTAGGCCACGATCCCTTACCTACAATATAAGCAATTGTTATTCGTTACATATCACGTGCATTTGTAATGATCGATTTATCTCCACCTTCTGTTTTTTGCAGTTGAGCTACGCGGACACGCATCCCATGTTCACCAGCGACAGCTTTCCGAATTTCTTTCGCATCGTGCCGTCGGAGAACGCCTTCAACGCGCCGCGCTTCGCCCTGCTGGCGCAGTTCAATTGGACGAGGGTCGGCACGATTTATCAGAACGAGCCCCGCTACGCATTGGTGAGTACAATAGTACCTATTATATATACGTGTTTACTCGGAGATAATCGAGGCATTAAAACCGAGCCATCTCTCGGAGTACTTTTCTGCACATGAATGTGCGTATGCTCAGAGAGCAAAGCGACACACCGATACCAGTGCGAAGTTGATCCGAACAAGTGTTTACTAGTGATTTCCGTAATAGAAAAGAGGTTATGTCCTTAAAATCGAGGTACACGGTGTTGGCTGTTTGAGGCATTTAGCCTCAAATTTTTCCTCGCTGCGTATAGTGCAAATTTACAGTGACTACGTGAAGCAACGAAATGATGGAAAACCACGGTGACGTAATTAGGTATAACTTTTTTTGTGTTTTATACTGCTGTAATGATTATTTGAGTGATTATATTCATTAAACTCGATGTTTTCTTAGTGTGAAGCAAGAGCCAAGCAATATTTGGATTAACGAAGATGACGATCGTGTTTCTGATTCGGTGGTCCCTTGCAAAACCGAAAACTTCGAAACGTTGCCATTTCATGAATTATCGGTGAGTTCAATGTTTTTAAATATGTTCCGTTTATCATCTACTAATGTTTTTAATTTAGGCCAAACCCGCAAATGAGGCTATGGCGTCACAAGAGAGGTTAGATGAAAAAATTTTCATCGATATTGAGTGCAAAAATGTAAAACCCGAGCAGACATCTACATCGACGAGCATCTGCAAAACTGAGTATCAACCTTTTCAACCTGTTGTGAAAATAGAAATAGAAAATCCGACCAATTCCAAGAATGGAAAAAGTCTAATAATTTTGATAAAAAAAGGATTTGATTATGATAAAAATCGTCAGTTTTATAAATGTGAGACATGTCACAAGACATTTGTATACAAAAGTAGTATCAAGTCTCACATAAATCCAATACACTCTCGCGTCAAATCATTCGAATGTGGTATTTGTTGCAAATCGTTTGGATACAAACATATCCTCACTAAACACATAAGTGGAATACATTCTCGCAGCAAACCCTCCAAATGTGAAATTTGTATCAAATCATTTTCCTTCAAAGATGTCCTCACTAAACATCTAAGTACAGTACATAATCGTAGCAAACCATTTGAATGTGAGATTTGTCTCAAATCATTTTCCCTCAAAGGGGTCCTCACTAAACACATAAGCGCAGTACATGATAAAAGCAAACCCTTTGAATGTGACATTTGTCAAAAATCATTTGGACACAAATCTTACCTCAAAACTCACATCAGTGAAGTACACGGTCGAAAAAACTCCTTCGAATGTGATATTTGTCATAAATTATTTTCTCGTAAAGGTAATCTATATAGACACATAAGTGCAGTACATGATCATTGCAAACCATTTGAATGTGAATTTTGTCGCAAATCATTTGGACGAAAAGGTGATCTCAAAACTCATATAAGTACAGTGCATAATCGAAGCAAACCATTTGAATGTGAGATTTGTCACAAATCATTTGGACAAAAACAGCAAATCAAAACTCACACAAATACAGTACATAATCGAAGCAAACCATTTGAATGTGAGATTTGTCATAAATCATTTGGACGAAAAGATGTCCTCACTAAACACATAAGCGCAGTACATGATAAAAGCAAACCCTTTGAATGTGATATTTGTCACAAATATTTTGGGCAAAAAAGTACCCTCAAAAATCACATCAGTGAAGTACACGGTCGAAAAAACTCCTTCGAATGTGATATTTGTCATAAATTATTTTCTCGTAAAGGTAATCTATATAGACACATAAGTGCAGTACATGATCATTGCAAACCATTTGAATGTGAATTTTGTCGCAAATCATTTGGACGAAAAGGTGATCTCAAAACGCATATAAATACAGTGCATAATCGAAGCAAACCATTTGAATGTGAGATTTGTCATAAATCACTTGGATGCAAGCAAACTTTAAAAAAACACGTGAATGCAGTACATAATCGGAGCAAACCCTTTGAGTGTAAGATTTGTCACAAATCATTTTCAACCAAGGCTTACGTCAATTTTCACGTTATTTCAGTACATGGTGGTAGCAAACCCTTTGAATGTGAGATTTGTCACAAATCATTTGGACAAAAACGTGATCTCAAAACTCATATAAATACAGTACATACTCGAAGAAAACCCTTCGAATGTAATATTTGTAAAAAATTATTTGGACAAAAGCAAAACATGAATAGACACATAGTGATGATACATAATCGGAGCAAACCCTTTGACTGTAAGATTTGTCACAAATCATTTTCAACCAAGACTTACGTCAATATTCGCGTTATTTCAATACATGATGGTAATAAACCCTTTGAATGTGAGATTTGTCACAAATCATTTGGACAAAAAAGTACCCTCAAACGTCACATCAGTGAAATACATGACTTTAGCCAACCATTTGAATGTGAGATTTGTTTCAAATCATTTGGACAAAAAAGTACCCTCAAACGTCACATCAGTGGAGTACATAATCGTAAGAAACACTTCTAATCGTAAAAATCACAAATCGCGTTCATGCCAGGGTGATCTCAATATACATGTAAATTTAGTTCATGATCTTAAAAAACTGTTGTAATCTCATATTTGTCTAAAAGTGTTCGGGAAAAAACCCCTCAAAAGTCCCATAAATTCATTGTCAAATCGTCGTAAATCGGTTGTAAGTGAGACTATTCTCACATTTGGACGCAAAAATTTGGCACTTAAGTGAATATCGTCATTTTTAAAAACGTTTGACGTAAATATTCTCTAATTGTTTGAAAGATCTTTAGAATATTTTCCATTGTTATCAAGTTGTGACGACTGTTTAAACTTTTTTTCCATTTTTGATAATAAACTTATATGATGAAAGACGTGTATTGTTTTTTAATTTATTTCTTTCACAATCGCTGTGAAATCTACTTTTAATCGTTGCATTAATCTATTGGTTTACCTCTCATTCAGTACTCCTTATCATTTGAACTGTCGGAAATCCTCTTAATCAAGTCTCTTATACAATCAAAATTATTTCTAAACTTCCCGCCTCGCGCAACGGCTTATCGTTCTCTGACCTCGACCGGAACGGTTTTTTATATAGTCCACTTAAAGATGAGAACAGCTGTAACACGAGGATCAAAAATATCGACGAAATGTGGACGAGCGCGAAGGCTATATTGAGCAAATCAAGTCTTTGCATACTTCATTTTAACGTAAAACTGCTGAAACTTACCCCTATGCATACACGCAGATACATGACTTTTCCAACAACTTAGTAATTTATTTATGCGCCAGTGAATGAAATTTTGAATTTTACAACGTGTTTTTTCGGGACAAGTTTCGGACGCGCGAAAAAAGTTTGGCACTTGCAATGCCAGCGAGCGACTTTCAAAAGGAGATTTGACACCTGCGCGCATCGCGCGTGACGGCGGATATTTGCTAATGAAAATTAGATCGGAGAGTGACGTATACGTACCGTGCGCGGCAGTGCGCGCTATAGGCCAGTGGGTTGCATAAGGTAATACACGTCGGTGTATCGCGTGTGCGTCGGTGTGTGTCAGGTTGTTGTTTTTTTTTTTCTTTCTCGTCGAGTCACAAAGTCCGACGAAAAATTCAGCCGAAGTGTGGAAAAATTACACGAGAGATAGCGTGCGCAGAGGCGGGTACCTATATCCTATATGTATACCGCGCGTAGATATATATAGGAAGTATATATAGAGTGCAAAATCCCAGGAGTATACTCAGCGCGCCCTTATACAGTTATAGAGTCTGCTTTGGAGCGTCGGGTGCAGTACTATACTACTACCACCACGGCACAAACTCCCAGCGCCGCAAACGCGCCACTACGGCATTTTCCAGCGAGCGAGCGAGCGAACGACGCGATCCTCCTCGTATTATATAGCGTGGCAACTGCACGAGGACGACGACGCAGCAGCAGCAGCAGCAGCAGTTATACAAGCCAAGAGAGAGAGCAAACGGCCACGATAACGGCCATGGCTAGCCGGACGTTGACCCGTGCGCGCATAATGCCGTAATCTCTCATACGGCCGATGCCGGGCGACGTTTTATGGATATTTATAAGAAGTGTCTCGCGTCTCGCTGCGTTTTGGCCGCGTGGCGTCGCTCGTCGCTCGTCGAGGGCGTGACGGCAGGGACAATTTCGATTTTTATACACGCGCAAGTTTTCCTTTTCACCTCCTTGGAGAGATCGCGCCCTATTGCTGGCTGAACGCAGCCAACTTTTTCCTCCTTGGCGCTCAACTCGACTTTTCCGAAAATCCAATGCCACTACACGATGCCAGCGTTGTTATACTATATATAATATATAGCTGGTGCGGACCGCAAGCTCGTCTCTCGCGATACACACGCCATAATCGTGCAGTGCGCGCGGTTAAAGCGACTACTCGTTTCAGCGCGGCTCTTTCATTTATACGAAATTTCGCAGCCACCGCTCCGAAATTTTCGGCTGGGCTTTTTTGTCGTTCGTGCGGCTGGCTGCGAAATTTCGGCGTGTTGCTGCAGCAGAAGCAGCAGAGCGGCCGTTCTCTCTCGCTGTATTTATAAAAGCTTTTACACGATGTATATAACTCATACGGTCTGGTGCTTTGGCAAACTGCTGCTGCTGCTGCTGCTCTGCATGCGACACCCTCGAACTCGCACGCTCGGTGGTCCATTCACGTGCTGCTGCTGCGTAAAAAAGGCGAAAAAAAAGCGGAGCAAAAAAAAACTGTCTCCTCCTCCTCCTCTCGCTACTGCATGTTAAATACAAAATACAAACGCAACGCGTGTTCGACACAACTATACAGGCAGCAGCGGCAGCAGCAGCAACAACGACAATAACAACGACAATAAACGCGCGAGCTCCTCCCTGAAATATGCATCGAACGAGTAAACAACGCGCGGCGCTTGTTTGCCCAAATGTGAGCTGCAGAGAGTCGCGCGCGCTTGTATAAACGCGAGCGCGCGTATCAATACGCACTATATACAACACCGTATATATATACAGAGTCAAGAACGAGGAGCGACGAAAAAGTAGCTTCCAACTTTCTCTCGCGCGCGTACGTCTCTCTCTCTCTCTCTGTTTATGGGAGTTTGGTTGCGAATTTAGCAGATACCATGTATAGACGCGCGCACTGCGACAACATTTGCTCGAAAAGTCTGCATCGGCGCTACATATATACAGAGAGCAGAGCGACGTAATGTGCAAACTTGCCGTTATTGACGAATCTTTGAGTGTACTATGTACGAATTGCTCGACGCCTAGCCTGGCTTCGTTACACATTGTAAAATAAATGCTGCTGCTCCCAAGCAGCTCTCACGGGAGGGGCTTGCTAGGACGACAATCAAATGGTTTATTTTCCGGGCTTCTATGTACGCTGTCGGTGTCGTATATATACTGGAAGCCCTTCGCGTGGCGCAATCTCAATTTTCAGAACGTCATTTCAGAGCTTTTCCTGCTCCTGCTGCCGCTGCTCTATATTGGGGATCCAGTATCAGAACAGAGAAGAGTATAGAAGCGCAAGAAAGTACGCGCGACCTCTGACCTTTTAATTGAAACGGCGAAAAACTTTTTCAACAATTAATCAGTACTCTCGTGGCCGCCGACGCCGTCGCCACTACTGCTGCTTTTCCGCAGATATTATCAGAAGTAATTATAACTTTCTGACCTACTGCTTTCGTGTGTATATACGCGGGCGTGCACACACACTCTCGCACGTTTACGCACTCGCGTACACTTTATCGTCCTTTGAGAAGAGGTCAAGAAGAAAAGAAGAGAGAGAGAGAGAGTAAAAAAATGTCGGCTGCAATAATTAAAAGCTCATCCTCATCCGCGAGCTTAGCCTTAATCTTCGATAGATTACGGCGTATAATCCGGGACGATTAAAACATCTGTTAATACTTTCTAAACTAAATATTATGAGGAAGTTTTTTTTTTGTCAAGAAAATATTATAAACGCACGTAATCGCAAGGGTGTGCAAAGATCCGACCCGTAAAGGTACACATTGTTAGGGCTTATCATCGCGAGCGAGAGAGAGAGAAACAAATATGGGATTATCGGGCGAATATAGCCGGAGCTCCGGTGTCGACGATTCGAATAAGCGAGGAGGGGATTATCCACGACTGCGCCAAAGTGACAAAACACAACAGTTTACTCCTCGGGATCGTTGGCCGATATTGTGCCGCGCGAGCATACAACATCAGCAGTAGTATAGCCTCGCTTTGCAAATACACATCGGAATATTCATGTATCATCGCGCGGCTAGTTTTAAAATTCGACGAGGAGGAAAAAGAAGCGCCGTCCGCTCGATATATAATAAGTAAGCCGGCGGATGGCGAGAGAATATATAAATTATACGCGCCGAGAGAGAGAAAGAGGAAGAGGGTAGAGGAGGAGAAGAAATTTCATATAGCCGTCGTATTATCCTACGGGAGGGAAAAAAAACCTTTTTATTAAAGCTGCCGCTATATACAGGTATATAGATATGATAGATAGCTCGCGATGTGCGCGCTGTTATATACCTACTGCTGTAGCACATGCACAAACACGCGAAACGTTACCTACTACGCGGGACGCGCTGCAGCAAATAGGATCATGTGGGCTCAAAGGCAATTTTTTCGAAAATTGAAACTACAAAAGCGCCTCTCTCACTCTCAAACGCATTGCTGCTGCACCCAGGGAAAGTAATAAAAAAGTACCCTGCAGACGACGATCGATGTTACGCACATACACATATAGAGGACCAAGTCAACTCGATCAAGCACACACAGTAGTGAATTCTGAAAAATTGACCAGAAATTCGTGTGTTCGTGTGTGTCTAACAGCAGCGAGGAGCGGCAGAGTAAATTCGTCCAATTTGTCGTTTTATCGGTGCCCATATATACGCGCTTTGTGCGACACGAGAACCCAATATGTGCATGCTATACTACTATACCAAGAGTCGAGTACCTGCGTTTACGCAGCGTTGGGAATTAACAAAAAAAAAAAAGTATCCACGACGATACGCAACACAACTCGATTTCTTTCAACTTCTCCGCGGGTAAACATCATAATGACAACGAGATCTCTCGCTGTGTGTCTCTCTATACCTCTCGAGAGACGCGCAGAGAGCTGGAGTCTGTATATAATCTTGCCAGCGCGCGCGTGTACCCAACCGCCCGTGGAAAAATGTATAAGAAGGAAACTCGAGTCTAATTCGCGTTGCGCCCCCAGGATATCGCCCGAGTTTCCGCACTGCTACAATATACCTATATATATTCGCGATAAAGTTTTCATGCAGCAACGGTGGCAGCGGCTGCGGCTGCGGGGGCAAGTGTCGAACCAAACAACGAGCTCTTAACGCACAAACCGCACCAGCGGGGGGCTAAGAGGAGAGAAAAAAAGTCGACTGCTGCTGCTGCACCGCGCGATACACAGATTGGCCTCGGGGCAAAATCAGTCGATTGTAGATTTTTCGCTTCTTCGCCGACCCTCCCCCGTTATGTATACAGATTCGCTGCTGCTGCTGCTCTCTGTGTGTTTCTTTTTACTTGGAGCCGCGTGGCCGACATAAATTATATAGCTGCAAGAGAGAGAGAGAGAACCGCAGATCGAGTTTGAATACTCGGGGCCGATTAAAGGCAGTCATTAGCATTGCGCTGCTGCTGCTGCAGGTAGAAGAGGGTAGAGGTAGGTACGCTGCGAGCGAGGCGGCGTACCGTCGTTCAACCTAAATAGCATTATCATTGGCGCGTGCCTGGATTTGCATGAAAATGTCGAGCTTTCTCTCCCCCCTAGCTCTAGCTAGCTAGCTAGCTCTCGCTCTCTATCTCTATCTCTCTTTCTCCCTCCCTCCGCAGCGGCTAGAAAAAAAATTCTTATTCTTTCGAGCGAGGAAAGCTAAATTTAATTACAATGTGCGTGCAGCAGCAGCAGCCGCGCCACGATGAATTGGCGCGAGGAAAAAAACATAATCTCGAAAGCAGCTAGCGCGCGAAGGTCGGAATTTTTTCCCAGCAGCAGCAGCCGGCCTGCTCTCGTAGAGGCGAAAATTCACTTGGAGAAAATCGCTCGGCCGCCGCTGCTGTGTTACATTAACTAGTTGATATTCGCAGCGCGCCGGGCCAAGGAGATATTCTATTTTTCAGGATAAACACTCGTCCCCGCGGGATTACGAAACATTTTACTCGTTAAAATGCAAATGAGATTATATACACTGCTATATATACCCTCTTTTTTCGGGGACGCAAAAATATTTCGCTTTAATTAATTTGACTTTTTTTTTCTCTCTGTGTACCAGGCGCACAACAGACTCGTATCCGATCTCGATCAGAATCACATCGAAGTAGTCGAGAGCCAGAGCTTCGCCACGGAAGTTACAACGGCCTTAGAAAAGCTCAAGGGTAAGGACGTTCGGATAATCCTGGGAAATTTCAACGAAGTGTGGGCCAGAAAAATTTTCTGCGAGGCTCATAGGTAAGCTCCTTTGGCTTCCTTCTCTTTTATTTCTTTGCATCTCCCGCTCGCGCGCGCATACATAATATGCCGTATACAGTAACTCGAGAGCCCAAAGGCGATTAAATTGCACCCGATTCTTCTTCTTTCGAGCTCCATTACAATAATTGAAATAGTCTCGGGAGCGAGCACCGTCTCGAGAGAAGGCAATAAAACAAGAAAAATATGAAACGTAAACGTTATAATAATGCCTCTCCAGGTTAAACATGTTTGGACGAAAGTATCAGTGGGTCATAGTTGGCATGTACACGGAGGAATGGTGGCTGCGTCCCGACGTCTCCTGCGCCCCCCTCGAGCTTCAAGAGGCCCTGCACGGCACCATACTCACCGACTTGCTTCCCCTCTCGACCGAGCAACAGATCACCGTATCCGGCATTGTGAGTATTGACTTTTATGCATATTTCAAAAAAAAAAAAAAAAAAACAAAATATCAGATTCACACAAAAAATGGATCAAGTGTCTTGAAAGCCAAAGCCAGTCGCAAGCTCCGTATTATCCTGTGTTTTTTTTTTTTTTTATTTTTTTAATAAAGCCAGTTCCATTTTTGTCGACCGCGAGAATTGCCGTCGCTGCGTCTCTATTACTCGCGTGACATCTGCGTTGCGGCAGAAGATAAGCAGAAGTGAAATATCCCGTGAATTTTTTTGCTGGCAACTCTTTTTTTTTGTTACTCTTCAACTTCTTTCTTTTTCTTCGACAGACGCCGGACGAGTATTTGGTGGAATACGATCAGAAGCGGGGCACGGAGTACTCGAGATTTCACGGCTACACGTACGACGGCATCTGGGCGGTGGCCCTCGCGGTGCAGCACGTGGCCCGTCACATCAGGCACTTTCGGCGCAATCAGACCGTCGCGGACTTTCGCTATCGGGACGAGCTCTGGGAGAAGCTCTTCCTCGAGGCGCTGAGAAACACGAGCTTCGAGGGTGTCACCGTGAGTACATTATTATAGCATAATAATAATAACAACTCATCGTATATCACACGTATAATACAGTTGCCAAAAGTTTAATTAAATTTTCGCAATTATTAGCAGCTTATTTTGTGCGTACGTGTGTGTCGGTAGGCAAAGGGAGCAGCAGCAGCTCCATTCCCACATTTATACGTGTATAAAGCTGTAATACCATTCATATTTCATTTTCACGTTCGGCTGTGTTACATCTAAGTGGTATCTAGTTCCCAAAACGACGTCTCGATGCGACGAGCGCGCGCGGGCGACCTACATTGAGATAAATCACTCGAGCTTCAGCCGCATACACCAGAACACACCAACACACACACACAGACACGTATTATATACACGTATGTGGGATCCCAGCACTCACTCACAGGCGCACGTGAAAGCTCGAGCTTTTCTTCGTCATTTATCTCCGCGCGCGCGCGCAACGCGCCGCTAAACTCTCTCTTCTTTCGTATATATATATATATTTTTTTTTGTCTTCATATAAAAATACGCGATAAACAATCCGAGAGAGTCGCGCGCGCGCGAGAATCAGAAAAATCAGTTTTTTAACGCGCGGCTCCCATAATGCCGAGGCGCATTACGCGACTGTAAATTGGCGCGTCGCTAAAGGAATTTAATTCACTATAAAAATATACTACTACTACTACTGGCGGCGGCTGAAGCTATATAATATCTTTTGTCGCGAGGGAATCCTTCGCCACCGCCGCCGCCATCGTATAATTCCAACCGACACTTTGCCACCTTTACTTTATGAGAACAACAGCAGCGGCAGCGGCAGCAGCGGCAGTGGCGGCACATACACGCGCGGACTCACTCAGTCTCACTTCATATACGTCACGCGCGTCTGAGAGAGCGAGAGAAAAAGCTTTGATCGCTGTGACTGGAATTAAAATAAAAAAGAAGCAGCAGCAACAGCAACAGCCGCGCGCGTTTTATTTTTCATGTTTTTATTTATTTCTTTTTTATGCATAAATATATATACGTATACGTATTCGGTGCGCTGCACGCATAACATATACACGAGAGAGCGAGCGAGCTCTAGATTTTGTTCGGCTTGACGTATACGTATCACGCCTGAGTCGCTCTTTGGGCGCCGCAGCTGCTGCTGCTGTTGCTGTTGTGTGTTATTCAACGCACTCGAGTGGCTCATTGTCTTTGACAGGTTTTTTTTTTATCCTCGCGCGCGCGGCTGGTGATAAAAAGTACTTAAAAACTGCCTCGATGCTTTCTTTTTTATTCTCTGTGCCATGTCTCTCTACCTCTCTCTCTCACACTCTTTTTCTCTGTTTAATCAGGGTCCAGTAAGATTTTACGATAACGAGAGGAAGGCTTACATTCTGCTGAAGCAATTTCAAAGTGAGTATTAAAAAAAAGGAAAGAAATGGAAGAAGAAAATAAAAGAAACGAAAGAAAATGTAATTCATAAATCCGATGCGCGCAGAAAGCGAGCGCGAACAATGCCTTTGGAAATTCGCGTGCGCTACCTAGCTAGCTAGCAGGAAAATCAGTAGTGATAAATCTGACGCGCGTATATGTATAAAAAAAGTCGCGGCACCAGCGCGCGGCAGACACTGATATAATACATGCGAATCGCTATAGATTTTCCTGCTGCTGCCTAGCTAGCTATCTCGCTCCTGCGAGAAGCATTATTCATATTCCGCACTCGTCACGTGCAATATACGCTCGCATATATATTATAGAAATCGAGCTCGCTATACATCGATTATAAATGCATGGATATGCGCGTATAAAGCTCGCGCGCGCAAGCTCTCAGCTACTACTCGAGATTTCAAATTATTATATCTGTCGACGACTACGCGCAGGTGGAAGCGAGGTGAAAGTCGGCGAGTACGACACGATAACCGGCACTCTGGATCTCACGAGGGGACAGCCGCTGATCTGGAGAGGCAAGTCGCCGCCCAAGGACCGGACCGTGCACATAATCGAGCTTTCCACGGTCAATTTGACCATTTACATGGTGCTGGCCTCGGTGGCGAGCGTCGGCATTGTCATGGCCGCCATCTTCCTCGCCATCAATATCAAGTACAGGAATCAGAGGTAAAACAATATTGATTATTGGTAAGTCCCTCGATCCAAACATTTTCAGCTCTAACTCGCTTTTTAATCGATATATACAGGTACATAAAAATGTCGTCGCCGTACCTGAACAACCTCATCATCATCGGCTGCATGTTCACCTACAGCAGCGTGATCGTGCTGGGCCTCGACTCGACCCTGTCGAGCGTCAACGCCTTCCCGGTGATCTGCACGGCGCGCGCCTGGCTACTCATGGCCGGTTTCTCGCTGGCCTTCGGCTCGATGTTCTCCAAGACCTGGCGCGTCCACTCCATCTTCACGGACGTCAAGCTCAACAAGAAGGTGATCAAGGACTATCAGCTGTACTTCGTCGTGGGCGTGCTCGTGCTCATCGACATCACCATCATGTCGACCTGGCAGGCCTCCGATCCGTTTTATCGCGAGACCAAGCAGATGGAGCCATACGTGAGTGACTATACATATTTTATATATAGAATACAGCTCTCGAAAGAGAAGCTCGAGGAAACAATCTAACGATCGTGTAACGTCTGGCTTTGTGTGTCGTTGCAGCCGCATCCCTCGAGCGAAGACATAATCATATTGCCGGAAAACGAGTATTGTCAGAGCAATAGGATGTCAGTTTATTTAGGAAGTATATACGCTTATAAGGGTCTTTTAATGGTAAGTGCTTTCTCTTTATCTCTCTCTCCCTCTCTCCCTCTCGCTCGCTCGCTCTCTTCCTGCTGTTTACACTGTAAAGCTTTGAGAGGGCAAGAAAGTTGAGGTAGACACACACACACACACACACTCTCACACATACACATGCAGAGAGGAGAAATACGGTTGTAGCGAGCGAGCGAGAGAAAAAATAGTTGTTAGCAGCCCGAGGTATATAATGACTCGGGGCTAGCAAGGAGCTTAAAAAGTTGCAGAGTCGTTACCTGCGCGCGCGCGCGAGAGCCCTGCTTTTTTTTCTTCTTCTTCTTTCCTCTCAACGATCTCTTTCTGTCCGTATGTGTATACGTGCATGTACGTACGTACGTACGGTAGTCGCGTAAAACGTAAAAATGCCCCCCAACCCCCTACGTACGTATACGCGTACAGTAGGCGCCTCGAAGCCACTCTCGAATCAGCCCCGTGGAAGTAACGACGTACCATACGTACTACGCGCTTATACTGCAGCTAAATTCTATGGCTAATTCGTTTTCGCTACTTCTTCTGCTTCTTCTACTTACTTACTCGTCTTTCTTTCCTTTTTTTTCTCTCTCGCTACTGTACTGTACTGTACGTCGGCGCCGCCGCAGATATTTGGCGCTTTTCTCGCTTGGGAGACGAGACACGTGAGCATACCCGCCCTCAACGACAGCAAGTACGTCGGCATGAGCGTGTACAACGTCGTGATAATGTGCGTCACCGGCGCAGCCATAAGCATCGTCCTGGCCGACAAGCAGGACGCCATGTTCATCATGCTGTCGGTCTTTATCATATTTTGCAGCACCGCCACCCTGTGCCTCGTTTTTGTGCCCAAGGTACGTACGTCGTTTTTCCGAGAGACGGAAAAAAATTTAAAAAAAAAGAAAAAAAAAAGAAAAAGAGAAGCAGGGGTATATGAATTAATGCTCGACGATCATTATATTGTACAGCTGATAGAGCTGAGAAGAAACCCGCAGGGACAAATAGACAAGAGATTCCGACCGACTCTCAGGCCAATGTCGAAGGCGCGCCGAGACTCGACCGTGAGCGAGATGGAGGAGCGCCTCAGAGACGTACAAACTGCCAATCAAAAATTTAGAAAGCAGCTCCACGAGAAGGAGTCCGAGCTGCAGGTAAAGTTTCAACTTATATATACCTTCCTCTCCCCTTCATTATATACGTATATAAACTTTATCTATAGTCTTCCTCGCCACCGCTTCCAGCGACGACGACGACGAAGACGACGAAGAGAGTGACGTTGTCGTCGTCGTCTTCGTCGTCGTCGCGCCGCACAATGTCTCGGGCCAATGTATTGATAATTAATAAGAGCTCGTTTCTCGTTTGTCGTATCAGATGTATTTAAGAAGACTAGGGGACGACGGCGTAGCGGATACACAAGCTGCCATGGATCGCCTCGCTGTCCCCAGACACGAGTCGTCCATTAAGAGAGAAGGTATTATTATTTCATACATTTTTTATCGCTTCGATATATATATCTATATACATCACGGAGCAGCTCGCACAGAGAGCGGCTCTATTAAGACTCGAATGTTGTCGAATTATCTCTCTTTCTCTCTCTCTAATTCTTCTCGTCCTTATAATGCTCTGAGTTATCGACTCGTGTATCGAAGAGAGCAAGAGAGACGAATCGCATTTATATAGCCAAGCCAAAGTAAATATTGTAAATAACACCCGCATATAACGACGATCGATCGTTTCGTCACCTCGACTGCGAGAGCAAATTTAATACTCTATTTATTATGTAATTTTTTGACATAACATCATTCTATTATTATTATGTGTGTGTATGTGTATGTTAGAGCTCACTGTCCAGCGGCAAAGCACTCAAAATCTCAAAGGTTAGTGTGCAACACACCACCACCGATTAACGACGCAATCTCATTGTCTCCAATTTATAGTTTATTATTATTACTTTACTTTTTGCTTGTTCATTATAGTTGCACTCGTTCATTCGTATTGTATTACGCACACGAATCGTTTTTATCATGTATGGAGAAGTAGGCGCACGACATTTGCAACGCACGTAGAAACTTATATTATGCGATTGACACACGGCCTGTTTTTCTCTTTTTAATCGTTTATTTTTTGTAAAACCATCGCACATAGATTTGATACACGCATAGAGAGAAATGTTCATTTATCGTGGATTCGTTAGCTCGTCGGAGTGAATCCAGTTTGCAGCTACATAGCGCAGCTTTACGTATATCGCGCACAGAAAAAAAACGTCGACGCGCGGAATTATTTTGATCCGTAGTTGCCACACAAAAAAGAGCTTGCACTAGTTTTTCCTAAATTTCACGCAATGTAGACTGCACAGTAGCCTGGGTATTGGACTTTCGTTGCATTATTAGTAACAAAATAAAAAAAGAAACAAGAAAAAAAACACAGTCGCGAGGATGGGAAAAAAGGGCGCAGTTTTTTCTTATGAAAATCCGATTGGTCAACTGTTGCAGGGCCATCGGTAACGACCGAGACGACGGACGTTTCCATGTCCATGTGCAGTTTGACGTCGCAGGCCAACGTGTCCCAGCTCGAGGGGGATTACGTGAACGTAAGCTCATTAGAGCAGCAGCAACAGGCAAGCAAGTACGTATTATACGAATTCTCCGTAGCAAACCGATTGTATACGAGAGAGAAAAAAACTTGTTTTTTGTCACTAGAAAAAAGACATCGTTCTCGACGACGATCGTCACTACCGAGATGGAGAGGCCGCTGAGCTCGACGACGACGGGCGGTGGCGGTGCGCTGCCGTCGGCGCTCAAGCACTCGACCAGTCAGGACTGCCGGCGGAGAGCTCGCATAGCCGGTGACGACTCCGCGACGACCACGACGTTAACGACATCGGCCCTGGTGAAACCGTTGAACGGCCGACCGAGCCACATCGACTACGTCGAGGAGTCGCACTCGAACGAGGACGACGCGGCGACGACGACGCCGAGGCAGCAGCGCCGGGGCAGACTGCCCACGCCGCCGCCCCACAAGAACGTCTCGTTCGGCGAGCAGAACAACATACTGCCGCCACCGGTGCAGTTCGTCCCCACGACCAGCACCATGAGCAAACAACACAGGCACTCGGTGACGACGACGTCGATAGCGCCGCAATCGTCGCTGAAGCGTCGCTCGTCGGTCAAGAGCGGCGAGCTGCCGCACTCGCAGCACGAGCTGTTCGAGCGTCGCAGGCCGAGCGTCCCGGTGAACAGCGCCAACGCCATTAGCTACATATCGACGGAGAACGTGGCGCGTCTGGACGCGGAGCACCTGCAGCAGGGCCCGAGCGGCGGTGGTGGCCTCGGCTACGTGATCGGCGAGTGCGGACATCGTCGGGCTCTGAGCGGCTCGCAGAGCATCGCCGCCGCTGCAGCCGCAGCGGCCGGCTATCGATGCGAGAAACACGGCGGTCTACCCAGAGGAGGAGGAGGTGCTGGTGGTGGTACACCGGGCCGAGGACACGGTCCAGCGGCGCTGCTCAACGGCTCGTCGATCGAGGCGCTCGGACACAAGAGGCACAAGCAGCAGCCACAGCTGATGTCCAGCAGCGGCGGTGGCCACTACTCGGAGGCGCCGTCGTACAACGCGAGCTCGCCCAGCGTGCCAGGTCTGCTCAGCGCCACTTACTCGGATACCGGTGAGTATTATGTTAGTCCTACTTGTATCCCGTCGAACGGACTCGAGCTATATCTCGTTCTTGTTTGACAGATAAATTCGAGGAGTCGCTGATGCAGCGATCGGTCTCGGAGCGGGTCCGCGACAAGCCGGTGGGAGGATCCAAGAGCTCGACGACGCAGACGCAAACGACGACGGCGACGACGGGCGCCGCTGGCCGGCACATACACACCGTGTCCGAGTGCCCGCACCGAGCCGCGCGCCACCAGCGCGAGTGCGCCCGGCACGCGCCCCTCGAGGCCAAGCTGCGCCAGCAGTCCAGCCGCCTCGAGTACGTGCAGAGCACGCCCAACGTCGCCACGATACACAACAGCAAGTTCGCCAGCGGCGGCAGTGCCAATCCCCGGGCGAGCGTCCAGCAGCAGCAGGCCCAGAAGCAGCTGCAGTCGGCCAGCAGCAAGATGTCGAGCGCCGTCTCGGACGGCGAGCTGCTCGACGTCGCCATACTGCCCATCTTTCAGAAGCTGCTGACGGAGCGACACAAGAGCGGCACGAGCCAGAGCCGCTACGGGGCCAGCATCGCCAGCTGTCCCAATATATCCATCAAGTGCGACATCGTCGAGTACCTCTAACCCGCGACGGCTGCTGCTCTCGTATTACTGGCGGCTTCCGTCGTATCGTCCTTTTTATTATCTAATTTCCTAGTGGCTATCGTAACGCTACTCGGCCGATCGTCGTCGTCGCACCCGACTGTGCGCCTAAATCGACGTCTATTCATCCTATAGCTATAGATATAATTTACTCGCGCACTCACCACACACACACACACACCGATTCACACACACACTTTACACGCGCATATGACATTCTGATATAAATAATTATCACACTCGACAAGCCACACACACACACTCACACACACAAGTAAGTTTTGTATTATATATGATATAAAGAATTAAACTCAATGAAAAGTATCAAATTAGTGACTTGAACAAATGAAGAAATCGACTGTCCGCGCGTGAACGTGGAACGTGTCGCGAGTACTTATAAATATTAAAACAGACGTAAGTTACGTATACATAATAAACACACATGATTACTAAAACGATGTACGTGTGTTTTATAATGGGGTGTCGGTGCCAATACACGGCCACTTGAGTTCGTCTCGTCGATGTATAAGCTCGAATCAACCTCGACTCCGTCTAAATTCGCCGAATAATTGAAATTACATTTCGCCAATATTCAGTCACTTTTGGATAGATTTTGCCATTGATAAAAAAAAAAAAACACTTTGAAGTGTGTAACTGCTGAATGCTCAAGTTGACGATATTATTTCAATAATTTGGAAAGAAAGTGGCCGGGTAGTAGTACAGTATCCCTATAATCACACACACTGAAATGGACGCTTTTATAATAATGATGATTACATATGAGATAAGATGAAAAAATATCCCCCCCCCCATGTAAGTATGAAAACAAACGTTATTGTAACACTTATTCATCATCGTAAAAGAGTTATTTTAAGTTGTTACATTTGTCGGACGTCAAACGAAAGAATCTATGTATAAAATATATATATATATTAATGATATTGAATCTGAAACACACACTCTGTAGTTTGAAAAACGATTTCAGGCCTATACCGCGCTAGTAGGCGTAAAAGGATTATTACAACTTCGAGCATAATCTAGATTATAAATATTTATTGTACTTATCGACAGAAAAAAAAACAATTACGGATGTACACGTGATGCAAACGACAAAAATGGAAAGACTTTCTCGAGAAAAAATTTTTAATGTGTCAATTATTTCTCACTCTACTGTTACAAAATATTATAGAAGTGTAAGTGTGGCGTATCGAGTTTGTCCAATCGAGATAGCAAGGCGGATTATTTCAGCGAAATGTTATGAATATAAAGCATGTTAAGTTATAGGTATGCAATTAATTAATGATGTTGTATTGATTATTCGTTACATACCAAAATAGTTATGTACATCGTGACCATGACACGTATATATTATTATCATCGAGTATTATTGATTGTTTGATAAATTTATTACTTTAAAACTTGTTATATGTGACCTGTATTGAAAATTGTTATGTTTGTTACATAAAAAAGAAACTATTAATCAGCATTGAAAAGGTGCTTTGCCTCGTAGTAATATAATAACGTTGACGATCCATAACAGAATTGCGTTTATACTTATGGTTGTTTAATTTGTCACTAAAGCTTATACAATTCGAAATAGCTGCACGGAAAAGTTTTAAAAAGTCATCGTTTTAGCTATGGTTTCGTGAATTATACGCGCAATCTCACGTGCTTTCGCGTGAAGGAAATATCGTTCCGGCTGCCGAATAATGTAACTTATATTTACACTCCATTAAATTCGTTCGGCATTGCACTTGAATAAATTTCCTCGTTAAAAATGAATTTAACGACGTTTTACGATGACACGACTAGGTGACAGAGAAGATCAAAAGGAGAGCGAACTTCCCGACTCAAGAACTGTTTATAATAGAACAAAACCGACTCAAGAACTGTTTATAATAGAACAAAATATATACATCTATCGTACAATCTCTATCGACTATGAACTACTTAAAAGGTAGTTAGTTAATTAAACTCGCGAAACAAATAAACAAACAAGGTAAAATTAAGAAGTATTATTAATTAGCGCATACACTCAGCGTATGAAGTATGAAAGGTTAAAGGTCGAATTATTATTGATGTGTAAAAATAAAATATGATAAAGCACACACACTGCTGTTGTTGGTTCATTTGTAACAAAAACGAAAAAGTTACAACGGCACAAAGTATTAAGTTGAAAGATAGACTTAGCCTTAGTAAAAAAAAAAAAATACGTGTACTTGAACGACAGATAATATTTCTATCAATAAGGGTGTTGCAAAAAAAATTAAATCACTTTTATATCCTGCAATTGTTTCGTTTCTTTTTGCCGTTATATTCGAAGCGCTTGTTCAACCCGTACGTCGTTGTCAACATTACAATTTTCGATCAAGCGTACGTCGAATACTTTTCGGACTGGCGAGTGCGTGTATCCATTGAAAGACAAAATTTTACTTTGGCTATTCTTGTACGATTTTTATGTACAAAACTGACACGATTACTACTCGATAATTCAAGTTTTTGTAAAACTCAACTAAAACTACACGATTACACATTAGGATATATAAACGAACTTGGATGGTTGAATCGCGAGGAAAAAAAAAATAACAGTATAAGGCCTTCGGTATGATCTCAAAACTGTAATGCGAGCACGAGAGCGAGTTGAGTCAGCGAGCAGTAGCAGCCGGTTCTGCCCAAATAACCGCCAACAATGTTCAATCATTTGAATAAAAAAAAAAAATTATAAAAACGATGAAAAAAAAAATGTACAGAAGAAACGAGATGGAAAAAGAAGGCGCATTTTTAATAAATAATATTGTACGATTATTAATTACTACTTCGAAAAATAAAGAATTGATCTAGAAGGAAACTCTGATTGAATGCGTATGCGTATACATGATGTGTGTGCATGAATGTATCATAGCAAAAATGTATCAATGAACTTCGAATAATAAACGAGCAAAAAAAAAATAACATATATATTACCGAGTACAATGAGAAAATATTAAAAAAAAAAAAAACAACAGAATTAACAATAACGACAACAAATGTTTAATTTGATTATTTGTACAATATACGTCGAGAAAAAAAGAACAGATTTGTTTACTGTTAACTGAAATTTATTGTCGGTTAAATAAATTTATTATCGCTTAAACTTTACAACCGAGCAGAACATTTTCTTGACGCTTCAATTTTCTCTTCCCATCGGTGATTACGCGATGCTTACTTGGGTTTTTTACTTTTTTTTTTTCGCGGCTCGATCCGATCCGCGGCAGGAGCTGACAAAAAAAAAGATTGCAGCAAGCGCAATCGATCGAGCCAATAATCCAACGGTGGCCTTTTTACAATGGGCCACTACTACTTTCTATCCGATCTTCGGTCCATTACGTACAGCTCGGTCCGAGTCCTGCGATTCATTCCGAAGCCGAATAGCTGAAGAGCGTTGACTTATCTCCTCTCGGCTGCATTATACGTCCTTAGCTCGCCGATCGGGAGAGATAAACATCGATTGATTCGACCGGGGAGAAAATAATGTCGAAATGCAGCCGGAGTCTCTGCTCTGGGGCCTCGTCTTCGCGACCTGTGTAATCGTTCGCTCGTGCCTCGGCTGCGAGGGATTGCTCGTGAACGTCACGCAGAACTACGACGGCAGCATCAGCGCCCTGGTCCAGTCGGAGAGCGAGCAGCTGCTGGAGGAGCTCGATGGTGAGTAATTTTTTTCCTTTCTCTCTCTCTCTCGAAAGTGCAGAATCGATCCGTCGATAAGCTCCCAGCAGTTAAAGGCCGTATTATACGTATATAAACGATAAATCGGTTATCTGTCGGTCTGAAGTCGCGCTGAAGTAGTACTGTGCCAACTGAAAATTAAAATGATACGATGCTGCACTGTTCTGTGAAGAAGCGTCTTGCTGCTAGCAAACATCGACCTGTCGAATGCGAAATCATTATTCTGACCTATCGTGTAATCTTTTTCGATGGACGAGTAAATGCTGTTTTAGTCCGAATTTTTTTTCACATTTGTCACATGCGAAATCTTTGCGACTTTTATGGACCGACCGTTGATGTCTGATCATATTTCCTTTTACTCCAAATTTCTGCCCGCAATTGTCACATGTGTAATCTTTCCGACCTTCGTGGACCGTCCTTTGATGCCAAATCAAATATGATTTTTGTCCAAATTTCTTTTCGCACTTGTCGCATGCATAATCTTTGCGACCCTCGTGGACTATCTTTTGGTGCTTCAACAAATAATTTTTACTTTTACATATCTTCTCGCATTTATTGCACACAAAATCTCTGCAACCTTCGTGTACTATCTTCTGATGATCAATCAAATAGCATTGAAACCCAAATTTCTTTTCGCACTTGTCGCATTGATAATCTTTTCGACCTTCATGGACTATCTTTTGATGTCTTATCAATCTTGACTTTTCTCCAAATTTTTTCTCACACTTATCGCATGCATAATTTTTGTGACCTTCGTGGACTAACTTTTGGTGCCTGATCAAAGAACATTTTTGCCCAAACGTCTTCTCGCACTTGTTGCATGCGTAATCTTTACGACCCTCATGGAATGTTGTTATGTGTAAGAGCAAACCCTTTTTTTGTACAAATTTCTTGGCACAATTATCGCATGCGAAATATTTGCAATCTTCGTGGACTATCTTTTGGTGCCGAATCACTAACCATTTTAGTCCAAATTTCTTCTCGCATTTGTCACACGCGTAATCTTTGCGACCTTCGTGAACTGTCTTTTGGTGTCTCAAAAAAACGGATTTATATCCAAATTTCTTCTCGCATTTTTCGCATGGGTAATCTTTACGACCTTCGTGGACTGCTTTTTGATGGAAAAGCAAATGTGATTTTTTACCAAATTTCTTCTCGCAATTATCGCATGCAAGATCTTTGCGACCCTCGTGAACTCTTTTTTGGTGTCTGATCAAAACACTTGGCATTCCAAATTTTTGCTCGCATCTGTCGCATGCGAAATCTCTCCGACCATTGTGGACTACATTTTTGTGCCTGATCAAATGAATTTTTCGACCAAATTTCTTCTCGCACTTATCGCATGCGTAATCTTTCCGACCTTCGTGTATTGTCTTCAGGTGAAAGAGCAATTGTGACTTGTTTCTAAAATTCTTCCCGCACTCGTCGCATGCAAAATCTTTGTGACCATCGTGTACCGTCTTTATATGTAAGAGCAAATTATGTTTATTGTCAAATCTCTTTGCGCACATTTCACACAAGTAATTTTTGAAAACTTCGTGGAATATTTTGTTGTGCTTAAGTAAAGTCGATTTATTTTCAAACTTTTTCTCGCACTTGTTGCACGTGAAATCTTCGCGATTTTTATGTGCCAATTTTTTGTGCATAAACAAACTCGTTTTTTTCACAAATTTTTTCTCGCATCTGTCACATGCAAAATCGCTGCGGCTTTTGTGTGCTGATATTTGGTGTCTACTCAAATGACTTCGAAACTCAAATGTCTTTCCACACTTGTCACATGCGAAATTTTTCTCTTCATTGTGAATTGTGTTTCGATGTGTTATCATGCTTGATTCTAGCGTAAATGACTCCTGACAAATATCACAAATGTATTTTTTGTCATATCCACTAGAATTATCTATCGAGACGACTTCCTCGGATTTTGTATCCATTTTGGTGCCTCAATTAAACGATAGGTCCTTATATTTAGTTTCACGGAAATTGAACGAATAAATACGTATATTTTGGTATTACGAGGTGTTTCATCGGAATAGACAACATTCAAACTAATTTGTTTTTGCTATTAACCTGAATAGTGTGTCGAAGCACTATGTCAAAATAGTGTATGATCATATTGTTTACAATTAAACTACCGATTTGTGTGTGGTTGTGAACAAGATTAAAAATCTAACTTAACGGAGATCTGCTTGTGGAATTTTTTTGGCCTTAAATAACTAATTACTTCAAAAAACTTCTTGTAATATCGAGTCAATAAATATATTTATTCCAAAATTTTCCGCCCTTTATAACCGTTGCCACCTCCACCTCATGACGCGATTGACGTGCACCATGAGCCTCCACCGTCATCATGTTAGGTGGACAAATTTTAAACCAGTTAAACTTTACAAAAATTTTTATACAATCAACTTTTGGCAAAGGGATATGGTTTTATTTGAGCAATAATTAATTATTATTTGATCATTGATCCTCGCGATCTTCGCATCGCTTGAAATAAATGAACTTCATCGACTACCTATATTATACAAATCTATCTGTCGCACCCACGCACCGTCACTCGCACACACAGAGGAGCACTCGAATCTAATATCCGGAGGAAGATACGCCAGTCCCGGTCAGTTTCCATTTATGGCCATTGTCCATCGGCTGGTGGGCCGGGGCCGTTACTACGTGTGCGGCGGCTCGGTGCTGTCGCGGCGCTGGGTACTGACGGCGGCCCACTGCATCGTCAAGTATCCGCGGCGATTTTTCGTCGTCTTCGGACTGGTCGATAAATCAGGACTGGGGTGAGGCAATATCGTATGTAAATCGCGCGCGAGGAGCTATTATAACAAAAAAACGATTCATTCGACTGGCTATGCATACAGGTACGATCGGCTAGAGGATTCGGGCTACGGCGAGGCCATGATCTCGACCCAGGGCGCCGTCCACCCGGGCTTCGGCCGTCTGCGCAACGACATCGGCCTGCTCTACATGCCGCGCAACATACCCTTCGGCGAGACGATCCGGCCGATCAGGCTGGCGGGCCGCAGCTATCAGAGCCTGTCGTTCGCCCACCTCGAGGGCCACATCTACGGCTGGGGACGCGACGGCAATCGAGGCGGTGCTTTGAAACACCTCAAGTACGGCCGCGTGCCCATCATCTCGAACGCCGAGTGCCGCTCCAATTGGCGGGTCGACGATTCGCACGTCTGCGTCGTCACGGCCGACAGCTCCGACCAGGTCTGCCAGGTGAGCTCGTGGGTGATTTATGTGTCCTCTTAACACGTGGACTTGATTTGTAACAGCGAGTCGAGTTGGATTGCAGGGCGACAGCGGCGGGCCGTTGGTCGTCTACAGCAGTCTGGGCGAGCCCATGCAGATCGGCATAGTGAGCTACGGCGATCGCTACTGTCCCAGCAGAAGACCGTCCGTCTTCACCCGCACCACGGCCTACCTGAGATGGATCACTCGAGTCACCGGCATCAATTACTCTTGACCGCGAATAAATCATTGTTATTATAAATGCAAAAATAAATGGATCCTTTCCAGCGTGTTATGTCAAGAATAAAATGAAAATGTATTTTTCCATAATGACGCGTCGATATTATTTTTTGCTACATTTCAAATTTTGCGCCCGAAAAACACGTCGGACTTTGATCCGGTGTCGATAAAGTCAATGTAGGCTCAAATAACATTATCATGAACGATTGGGTTCACGGACGGCCGAGGGCAGCACCGTACGCGCCAGTGCGGGCCGATCCCTATAACTGTCAATGTGTGTGCAGTCTCGTCGATGCACATGTGAAAAACGCACACAGTTTATATCCACGCGGCTTCGAGACCGACTAGTGGCGGACTCTTTCGGCGTCGGTGTCAGCGAAGACTGCTAGTGCAGACGCTAAATTCAGTCGGTGACTGTTTGAGTGTTTTGCCATTCGGTTTCGTTCTTTTTTAGTGATCTTTTGAATTAGTTTATTTTTTTATCAATTTCGAAGCATTTTTTAAAGCGTAAGTATTTCATGGTGCTTGACTCATTCGTATTCCGAAACATCGATCGTTGAGTAGCGTTCTTCTCATTGAATATTTTTTTGGTAATATTTTGATTCTGCATCTGTTTACAAACTTTTGGTTTGACATAATTTACTCCATGAAATTGTACATGACATGCGAGGAAAATTTCAAAGTGTAATAATTTAAAAGAAAATCACGTGCATATACGTATTTAATTTTAATAACGTAATAATGATAAGTACCGGTAATCAAAATATAAACTTAACCTCGAATTTTTTTATCTAAAAATTGACAAAGCCGGCGTTTACTCATCTATAATTATTTTTCTAATTATCCATCTTCCCATTTATAGAATTCTCACAATGTCTGACGACGAGGATATTCATTACGTTAAAAAGCAAAAAACTGTCCATTACGGCTCACTCGAAGAGTCTGAGAGAGCTCGTATAGCTGCACTCGATGAAAGTAATTCTGATGATGACAGCAGAGATGGACAAGAAGCATTCAAAAGGCCAGCCAATGTCCATATATCTAATGAGTATATGGAGTTGGAGGCGAGCATGTCAAAAGATCGACAAGCTCTATTGGAAGAATTCGAACGAAGAAAAAAAGCCAGACAGATAAATGTGTCGACAGATGATTCAGAAGTTAAAAAAAATTTGAGGCAATTAGAAGAGCCCATTTGTTTATTTGGTGAAGGGCCAGCTGACAGAAGGAATCGTCTGCGTGAATTGTTGTCGTGTTTAGGGGAAGATGCCATTAAAAGAAAAGATGACGATGAGAGAGTAGCGCAACCTGAAAAGGATCCAGAAACAACTTGGTACCATGAAGGTCCTGATTCACTCAGAGTAGCACGATTATGGATATCAAGTGAGTTTTAACAATTGCTAAGTCAAATTTAATTTCGTTTACATTTATTCAAAAAACTAATTATATTTTCTTAAACACCTAGTGTATTCTGTGAAACGAGCCAAATTGAGATTAGAAGAAGCCCGCAAAGAGCGTGATGTTCCTGCAGCTACTAAAACCGCCAGAAGACAAGAACTTCTTAAAAAACTACAAGCACAGAGCATATATTGCTCTCAAATAGGAGATACAAGGCCTATATCATGTTGCACATTCAGTCCTGACTCAAAAACTTTAGCGACAGCCTCTTGGTCAGGTTTATGCAAATTATGGTCTGTACCAGACTGTACTGAATTAAGAACACTGAAAGGTCATGGTTGCAATGTAGGTTGTATCACATTTCATCCAAAGGCGGGTACTACGGAAGATATATTTGATGAAAGTGCTAGTAAAACGTGTATACTAGCTAGTTGTGCCAGTGATGGTAAGCAATTTTCAAAGTTAAACTCAATATTTTAAATTTCACATAAGTAGCATTAAATGACTGAATTCATTTTATTTTAGGTTCTGTCAAACTTTGGGGAGGTGGAAAAGGTGAAGAACCTTTAGCAAATGTTGAAGGGCATGAACCACATAGAGTTTCAAGGCTAGCTTTTCACCCATCTGGTAGATTCTTAGGAACTTGCTGCTATGATTCTTCATGGCGTTTATGGGATTTAGAACAGAAAGCTGAAGTTTTACATCAGGAAGGACATACAAGGCCTGTACATTGTATGAGTTTTCAAATAGATGGTTCTGTAGTAGCTACTGGTGGTCAAGACTCTTTTGGAAGAGTCTGGGATTTACGTACTGGTAGATGCATCATGTTCATGGAGGGCCATTTGAAATCTATTTATGGCATAGACTTTTCTCCAAATGGTTATCACTTGACTACTGGTTCTGATGACAATTCTTGCAGAATTTGGGATCTTAGAAAAAGAGCTTGTCTATATTCTATCCCTGCACACACTAATTTGATATCAGACGTTAAATATCAAAAAGGTGAGGGTCAATTTTTGATCACCGCTTCTTACGATAATACTGCAAAAATCTGGTCAAGCAACACTTGGCAACCACTGAAAACCTTACCTGGTCACGATGGTAAAGTGATGTCAGTTGATGTATCCAGTGATGGAAAATACATAGCAACTACGTCCTTTGATAGGACCTTTAAGCTATGGGCACCAGACTTATAAATATATTCGATTATTTTCTTTATGTGAAAGTAAAGAGTTAATATTTTGTACATATAACACCTATTTTTATATGAAATAAATGTAGAGAACGAGTATCTCTACTTCAATTCTTAAGAATTGTTTGTTCAGCTGAAAATCGTAGCGTTTATCGATGAATTAATGTAAGTAGCAATATGTTTGCAAATAAATAACTTGTATTTCATAGAAAATTAGCATTTTAATTTTTACTCATGATTATTCTTACTGAGGTCAGTATCTTATTAATGTATATCTTATATTTTATTTGAAATATGTTCATAGAACTAGTAACTATTTCAGCAAAATAAAAAGAAAAAAAATTCAAATTCGAAAGAAAAGCAGCTGTTTAAGGAAGCAGATAGGAGTGACTTTGGTGGGTGATTAAATAAAAATAATAAAATTAAATTAAATAAAATTAAAATCCAAAAAAGTTAGCGAATTCAAGTTTTTGTAACATTTTTTTATTCACTTTTTACATAGTATAAAAAAATCTACAAAATTTAATAACTAGATATAAAAAAATGCTCCAAATATGCCAGTCACCATCAGGAGCTTTGGCTTGTAACCGCCAAGCAAATCTTATACATATCTTCGTTAGTGAGCTCCTTGAGGATCATATCACAGCAAAGAATTGGAAGCCAGTAGCGAGTCAGGGTCTGGAAAGAATCCAATATCCAGCGTCGGAAAAATGTTCTCAATAGTATCTCGTTCAAATGTAAAACACAAGCCTCACGATGCCTGTCGGGAAGTTCGAATAACTCATCCGAGTCAGAGAACTCAGTGTAGTCCGTTAGTGTAAATAGTTTTTCCGCAACTTGAGTTCGTAGTCGCACCAGGTCGTTGAGTGTCAGACTCGAACTTATCATTATTTTTTTCGCTTTTTCCCCGAATTTTTCGTTATTGTACCAAAATGTGTCATGATTCGCCGCCTTCTGGAACAGTCCATACTTGAAGAAATATTTCATGATTGTTCGAGTACCGGTTCGGTCCAGTTGATAACCTCTTTTCTCAAGTTGTTGTACGACAGCCAGAATGACAGACGTCATACATAATTTTAAGCTACTACTCCACCGTGACCCGCAATTAGTTACGCTTACACTGCCTGTGTTTCCGAGCGCTAAATTTTTGCCGAAATGAATCTCAGCTGGAAAAACAAATTTGGACAGATCAGCGTCACAATCCAAAAGTAGATCGACCATACTGGGCGAAAAACTCGCCACAGCCAATTGAAGCGGCGTTCGACCCAACTTGTCTTGGGCATCGATTTGCAAAGTTTGATTTTTGATGTTACAGATCACGATTGACATCTCCACGAATTCACGTTCCTCGTAGCCGGTATCAATTGTATGTGAATCTCCCGTGCAAACAATGTGCAGAGGAGTAAATCCATTGGCATTGGCCAAATTCGGGTTGGCGCCGCTTATCAGCAATAATTTGGCCATTTCATTTTGTCGATGAGTCAGAGCTAAGTGTAGGGGCGAATCTCCCGTTTCTGTCCAGATGCAATTGGGATCTTGCCTGAGCTCAAGGAATCCTCGGACGACGTCGTTACAGCCTCGAGACATACATGCCACGTGAAAATGTGTTAATCCAGTTTCATCGGTGTAGTTCACGTCGTACCTGTTATATATTTGAAAAAGATCAGGTATAATATTATAGTTCTTGCATCTAGCCGCATGATGCAGAGCAGTGGTCTGACGCAGCAATGGTTTGCCGTCGTTATCAACGGCGGGCTCATCCTTGTAGCCGCTGCGAGCCACAAAGTTGACGATATTTTTGCATTTTTCATCAATCATATATTCATCCTCGCCTATATCTCTGCGAATGTAGGTCTCCGTACAGAGAAGCCAATCAATTTCTTCAGTTCGAAAAATGTCTCTGAGATTAGGTAGTTGGCCCCTCCAATGTATGATTATAGGATAAACTTTACGAATAAATGCTCGTCTCTTTTCTTCGATCTCCCAATTTAGCTGTTCATGCGCAGTCTTCAATTTTCTCAACAAGTCTTGATTATCTTGCGCCATTGTTCAACACTGCACTCACACGCAACACAGTAGCAACTGCGATCTTTCTTTGTTATACGGCGTCGACTGCTGACTTCTTCTTTTTCTTCGGCCCAAGTGAGCGCTGTGCAGCGCCCTCGAACTGTGCACTTTGCACTGTGCAGATATGGGCAACTGCTGACCACAACTGTAATACCGAGAAATTCGCAAGACCAACGAAACACGCCATTACTTGTCCGGGTATAGGAGTTGATGCAGTAGAAGCGATCGAGCAGACTCGGCGAGCATCGGACTACGAAAACTTATTTAGGAACTCCGGTTTACAAGTAGGAACAATTTTTTAATGATAGAATTAATATATTTTTAGCTTTTTTACCGAAAAATAATACCGAAAAATAAAAATAAATATCAGTAGGATTTTGTACACGCGAGTTTAATATTTTTTCAACGCGAAAATTTTCAACCACTTATCGACCATTCTTATAACCCATATAATATGATTGACAAGTGTACAAAGAAGATAATTTATGTTTAGAGTTTTTTTATGACTAAAAATCGATGAATAAATTCCTTTTTTATTTAAAAAATATCGTACAAAACCACACAAGCTTTCAGATATTGGTATACTAGGAAAGGATTCAGATCTACCGGTAAAAGTAATATACCAAAGCGAACAGTAGTATCCATTTGGTCCAACTATAATACCAGGTATTCCATTTCGCATATATACTCAAACGAGCCCCAACGGATCTCTCTCTTATAGCCGCTATCGTTTGCACGATATAACATATAGAACGAGCCGAAGGTTATCGATTTAACGGTTTGGAGACTGTACGAATCACACTTCGGACATGGGACATCGATCTCGTCGAAGAATAAGCGCATCCTGTTCTTTTTCTTCGACCCTTGCGATGGCCCTGCAGTACAAAATTGTCGAACTGCTGATGTTCCCGCGGCTGCCTCGAACTTGACCAATGACGATGCGTTCAACGCGCTTCTGGATAGCAAAGGAGTTGCCGCACTTTGTACACTTTTCACGTTTTCTTGCAACTGTGGCAGGGTCGCTCTAAGACCCACACTTGATAATCGCCTCACCATGAACATTTTGATTCCGTTCGGAGTATTCTAAATCTTTCGGTTGAAATATAACTGTAACAAGTAAGAATAACGGACTTGCTTCTATTCTCAATGAGAATTCATACAAACGTAACCTTTTTCTAACGTAAAGCCTGACAAAACCACTTGTGGCTAACGGTATTAAAAAATTAAAAAGTATATAGATCAAAAGGAAAGCTAGATCTAATTGAATTTCATGAAGCCTATGTGCCACAGTTCTATTCTCTATCAGGCAGAGGCCATTACGATCAGAGTAAGAGCGCGTTTTACGAAAAGTGTCTAATAAATTCCTTAAATGAGTGATCCTTACTCATCACTCAAAGGTGATCCTTCGATCCTAGGTCCTATCTGTTCCATTGCGGCATTGACCTTTCTTCGAATGGGGACAACTTGTTCCAATGACTACTTATGCTGAATTTGGGAATTAGAAAAAGATCTTGTTTATACTCGATTCCGACCGAAAATATACACAGCGACTGCGATCTTTGCTAAGTCTCTCAAGTTGTAGCCCCAGACTAATAAATAATAATATCAATAAAACGTAAAATGTCAATCTTTTTTTATGCATAACGCATTTCTTTTTATGAAATAAGTATGGAGAACGAGTACCCCCATTTAAATTCTTAGGAATTGTTTGTTCAGCTGAAAATCGCAGCGGATTAATATTAATTAGTGATACGTTTGCAAACAAATGTAACCTGTATTAAATAGAAAATTAGCATTTTCATTCTCACTCGTCATTACTCTTGCCCGAGATCAATGCCGTATTTATTTATACGAATACATATATTACGATATCAGCCGCGAATGACGTCAATTGTACAGCTCTGCTGCGTTTGTAATCTGTAACAACAGTATATAAACGATTTTTTTTCTATTTCCAACATAATGCAAAACGCATCTTATGTTGCATTCTAGAATCTTGCTCGGTCTTGCGAAACGAGAATTATGAAACGATTCGAAACGTATCGCGACGCAATGTTTTATTGCCGAGGCAAAGGAGAAAAAAAAAGCCGAAAAAAGCAGGCAAGTTCACGCCATGTCGTTCGCCGCGGAGCATTTTGTTGTTCTCGCGCGCATTTTAATCTTTCGGAATTGCTTACAATACGCTGCGTGGTGAATCGTTAATGGCAAATTCCGACTGTGAAAATTTCTCAAACGTCGATTAATGAACTTATTATATATATAATTGTGCAGTCACATGCAGTAACAAGTGTATATAAATGCCGGTCTACCCGCGAACTTCTCCTCCTCCTCGCGGCGCAAAAGTGACGAGTGCTCTTATGTTTGATCAATCGCTTATTTATTCAATTTCTCCTTCGTACACTTCAATTGGCTTTGACTCGTCGAGGAATATTAATTAATTGATTATAGATTATTGTACTACTCCTAAAGCTCTTTATCGAATCGCCTAATTGAATGAGTTATTGTCCCGCGCGCTCGACGCATAAAAATATCGATACAAAATCGCGAATTATAAATTTTCCACCTTTATCGGCCGACGTCGCGTGGTTACGATTTTCAATTTTCTCAATCGCCCGAAAACTTTTGTTCCGAGTCCGTTGTTACGTTGTCGAATCGTGATTTGCACTCAGCCTCGAGAAGAGGGAAAATCTCGAACTTTTCCGAAACTTCGCTGCTCGCTAGCGATTAAAATTTTTTTTCGTACCCCACTCACGCACTACATAGGCAGCAACAACAAGATCGAACAAGGAGTCGAGGAAATCTTTAGCCGGTGACTGGTCAAGAATTATTTCACGTAACCGCGACCGCGAGCAGGAAACAAGATCGTTCAAATTCGTATACATAAGAATTTGTTTTCTTTTTTTCTCTTGCGTATTTCTCGCGTCAGCGGCTTTATCGTTTACTTTTATGTTGTATACAGTAGCTGCTGCTGCTGGTGCAGCGCAGACGCTCACCGAGAGAGCGTCGATATCATCTATCACGATACGTAACAGACATTCGGTGCGTGATAAAACGGCGGCGCATACACAGACACACTTACACACGCGATCGTGTGCGCATGTAAAAAAAAGAGGGAGAGAGAGAGAGAGAAGCAGCAATTCATTGACACCGTCGAGTTGCTGCTGCAGCGCATGTGTGTACATAACACTTTTTCCCCGCTTCGCAGCTGATACCCGCGCAGCTCTCTCGGGGGGCAATAAATGCCCCCTTCGCTCGGCTCGATCTGAATTATTTCAGGTTCGCCGGTTACACACCTTTGACTCGCTCTTTTATTCTTACATGCACACACGTATATAGGAAATATCGGTCGGAAACGATTTCGGAAAGTTACACATCCTCGACGACGATCTGTTTGCGCGCGTGTTGTTCCACGATCTCGGGCGCGATGCAGACGCTCTTATCGGTGCGGATCGGCGGTACTCGAGCTTTTTCGGTCCGTCAGAATTACTCATCGCAATCTTTTGGCCACTTCGGCCCTATCGATCGCAGCGAATAAAACGGCTCGTGAATCATAATATTTTGGTGTTGGCTCGGAAGCGCGACAAACAGCACTCGAGCCACGTGCGCGGACATAAGTACATAAGTCGAATAATTGCACTTTTACAACGTTGTTGTTACGCGATGATCTTTTTCTCTGTCTCTGTCTCTGTATCTCTGGTCTGTTCCTCGCGGCGGCGATAATGAGCAACCTTGAATACGCAGATAACATCATCTCGGCACTGTCGCGTGTATGTGTGTGTGTCTATAGGTCTAAATAAACTAGTTTATACTTGACCTGACTCCGTTTTTGCTAGACAGGCATGACGGCTCGAGGGTATAGTCGAGCTGCTGTTTTTTGTCTCTCTTTTTTTTTTTTACAAAATTTGACTGAATCGGCCTGAGAATTGGGCAAGCCCTGCAGAACTTGACGGGCTGTCCGGAATAGGTGCAAATATCATCTAGAAATTTAGTCGCGATCTCTAGCGCTGCAATCGGACGAGCGCAAATTCGAAATTTGCCTGCATTTCACTGCCAATCATCCTCGGTTCTCTTTCTTTATTGAAAACAATGCATAGATTGTTCATTAATGATCATAGAAGCGATCGAATGTACCGCGTAAAGGCTTTGAAAATTATCATACTCGAAACACATTGCAGCGCCGAACGTGCAGCAGTACGATACGGAAAAATAAAAGCACATATTCGGCAGAAAATTGCGTCAATAATATCTGTCCATTTTCATAATCGCGATATCGCATGGTTGCCTTTTGTTTACGCAAATATCGTTATACGCGCGTGCGAACGCCTATACGGCTCGAGTGTTATATGTATATACAATGGAAAATTTAACACGAATACATAGTAGTAGTAGATAGTAAAGCTCGAGAGCTGCTGCTGCTGCTGCTATATACGACAGCTGCACGCTGATCCGTATTGCGATTCTCGATATATACCGGACGAATTACAAATTAATCTCCCCGACTGAACCCGGCGATCGAATAAAGGTAAAGCGGCGGATGAAAATATCCGTTCGATGCGCGGTTGGCTTCTGCTGCCTATGCATGGCATGCAGAAAAATACAAAAAAAAAAAGAAAAAAAGAAGGAAGAAGCAGAAAAGGAACGAAATATTTTTCGTCCGGAGCTCCTGCATCTGTATGCGAGTATGCGGTGTCAAGCTTTATCTGGCTGTGCCATGTGGCTGCTGCTGCTGCTGCTGCTGCTATTGCTGTGTGGGTGAGTGTTAGGGGAGTGCAGGAGACAGAGAGATCTGACCTAGTTTTGCAACTGCTCTCTCTCTCTCTCTAGCACTAGCCGCAGATTAATTGGCGATTCTTTGGCGATCGACTCCCTGCTCCTTCTCTGCTCTTGCCGGGCCGAAAGATCTATTACCCATCGACAATGAAAAATTCTGGTTTCCGTGGCCATACGTATACACTCTTGCGCGCGCGATAAGATATTGACCGTGAAGCTTCGATTTTTCTCTCTTTCTAGCTTCTTCAGCTGCACTCGAGGATTTTATAAAAAAAAAGGCAACGGAGAGTCGAGCGATTCATTAGTTTTCGATGTATTGTCATTGGGATTGATAAGGCGGTTTTATAATATCGATATCTGCGGCCTCTAGAAAACTCGTGCAAAGTGCAGCACTAGGATTTTTCACTTCCTGCTTCTGTTTTTTTTTTTCATCCAAACGCATGCGTAACACACAAGGAAATGAAAGGCACACACGCACGCAATAATGAGGCGTAAGATAAGGCATTTAAAAATTATGGATCTCGTTATTTAATACTTATTAACGACGACTTATACACGACGACTTATATAGGAAGGCATACAATAATAAAAGTTACAGTATTACATAATATGTACAGAGCTTATCGCATATAAAACAATTTCTTTTCTTTTTTTTCGATTAACACGAGTACAATAACGAACGAAGAGGAGAGAGACGAACGAGGAATTTCCGCGCGGAAATTTCGGGCGCGACGCGGTGCGAGCTTCGTTGCACGCGCGCACTTTTGAAAAAAAAGGTGGGGGAATCATGACTGGAACACAGAAGAAGCTCGTCTACTCTCCGGGATGGGCACGATGGATGCGACGACGATGACAACAACAATAACAACGATAACAACGATAACAATCGCGTCGCAGAGATGATCATGAGGTGGCTGTGAGAGATCTGTTGATATTCAGTTGTCCAGCGGCAGCTGCTGATGCACGAAGGTCCTGGAGCCGCCCTCGGCGAACTCGCTGGCGGTGTGGCCGTCCCCGTCGAGGATCCACTTGGTCGTCAGTAATCCGTCGACGCCGACCGGGCCCCGGGCGTGTATCCGCGCCGTCGAGATACCGACCTGTTGCGAGAAAAACAGACGCAAAAGAGAGAGAGAGAGTTAGTTATTATAGCGATCGTGACAAAAGAGAGAGAGAGAGAGAGAGAGAGAGAGAAAAAGAGCGAGCCGCTGCTGCCTTTTCGTTATCCACGCGATAATCTATTATACCGGCTATTGTGTGTGCGTGCGTGTGTGTGTGTGTATCGCGAATCACCGCGTTTCAGAGACTCGATGAATGGAAAAATACGCGGGCGCCTCGCGCGGTCCCTTTTCTCCTTTTTTTTCATTTAGCTATAATACCGATATGTATGTAAAAAGGCACGCAAAAAAAATAGATTTAAAAAAAATAGGCACTCGAATGCAATAGCGATCGTGTGTGTGTATGCGCCAAAAGTGCAGCTACATGTAAACGCACACGGCGTACGCCATATCAGCGTTAACGTGACTAAGCTATTTACTCCTCGCTCCCCGAGTGAAATGATATTCGAGCGTGTGTGCGCGCGTGTGTGTGTGCGTCGGATCGCGTGCACGCGCTCTTACCCGAATAAATAAAAAAGAGTTAGAGAGAGGAAAAAAGTATCAAAGAGAGACGAGTGTGATCGATGCGTGGCATGCATCATTACGACAGTTTGACGTCTACAAAAATGTGGAATTATACATTTTTTCGGCGCGATCGTTGGCTATACTCGCGTAATATGAGAAAAAATGTGAGTATATGTATATATACGGACCTCGGCGCCGAGGCCGAATCTGTAGCCGTCGGAGAATCGACTGCTGGCGTTGTGGAAGACGCAGGCGCTGTCGACCTGCTTCTGGAAGCGCTGCGCGGCCTCCTTGTCCTCGGTGACGATGACGTCGGTGTGTCCGCTGCCGTAGCGATGCACGTGCTCCACGGCCTCGTCCAGGCCCGACACCACCTCGATGGCGCACTCCAGCGCGCCGTACTCGACTTTGAGGCCCTTGGCCAGGGGCGGTCCGAAGGTCAGGTGCTTGCGCAGCTTGGGGCCCGCGTGTATCTTGACACCCTCCTTCTGGAGCATGGCGCAGACCTCCTGGAAGAAGCCGTTGCTCATGTGGCGCTCGTGTATGAGCAGAGTCTCCATGGCGTTGCAGGCCGCCGGATAGTCGCACTTGGAGTCGCGTATGATCTTGGCGGCCTTGGCCAGATCGGCCTCGGCGTCCACGTAGACGTGGCAGATGCCCTCGGCGTGACCGAGCACGGGTATGTGCTTGGATTGGGATTGGATGGTGCGCACGAGGTCCGAGCTGCCGCGGGGTATGATGAGGTCGATGTGCTCCTCCATGGAGAGCAGATCGCCGATCTCCTCGCGGGTCGAGACCAGGGAGATGGCGTTGCTGGCGCCGACGGTCGCGAGGGCCTCCTTGACCAGGTCCATGAGGCAGCGATTGCTGTGCGCGGCCTCCTTGCCGCCCTTGAGCAGCAGACCGTTGGCCGAGGACATGGCCAGTGCGGCGACCTGTGAGAACATGCAAAATGCGAGATTATCGATCGCGGTCAATTTGATGTGTCAATGCTGAGCTGGCATCGTTATTTTTTGAAACTTGCCTGCGGCAGACTGTCGGGTCTCGACTCGAAGATAACGAGCAGCACTCCGATCGGCACGGTGACCTGTCGCAGCTCCAGTCCCTCGGCCAGCTTGGTGCGTCTGAGAATCTTGCCGACGTTCGTGTGCGACGACTCGGCGATCTGCTTCAAACCGTCACGCAGCGACTTGAGTTTCTGCGGGGTGAGCGACAGACGCGACAGCAGCGGCTTGGCCAGGCCGGACTTTCTCGCCTCCTCGAGGTCCTTGTTGTTGGCGTCGAGGATGTCGTTCTGCCGGGACTCGAGCAGATCGGCCAGGGTATTGATGCAGGCCGCACGCTCCTCGGGCTGTAGGCTCTGCAGGACTCGGCTGCCCACACGGGCGTTCTCGGCGACGACCTCGACGGGCGCCGAGCTCGAGGTGGTCTCGGTGAAGAAGGTGCCGACCTTGCGACCGCCCATGATGCTCTTGATGGCCTTGTCCTGGGTGCCGTTGCAGATGACCACGCTGACGCCCCGATCGAGGGCCCACAGCGCGGCGTTCACCTTGGAGTCCATGCCGCCCGTGCCCACCTTGGACTTCTCGCCGAAGGTGATGCTGCCGCGCTGGTCCGAGCTGAAGGTGTGCAGCAGCTTGGCGCCGTCCTCCCACGGGGGTGTGTTGTAGATGCCGTCGACGTCCGACATCAAGATCAGCAGATCGGCCTGCACCTCGGCCGACAACATAGCCGCCAACGAGTCGTTGTCCTTGATCGGTATGCCCCTGCGATGATTCTTGCCGCCCGTCGTGCTCACGTACTCGTCGTCGCTGGTCTGCATCGGCGGCGAGACTGCGTCGTTGGTGTTGATGATCGGCACGATGTTGAGACTGATCAGCTCGCTCAGCGTACTGAAGAGATTCTTGCGCGTCTCCTCGTTCATGAAGTCGGGCTTGGTGACCAGCACCTGGGCCAGCTTGACGCCGTACTGGGCGAACATCGCGTCGTACAGGGACATGAGGCCGGACTGGCCCACCGCCGCGGCGGCCCTCGGCTCGAGCATCGTCGCTGCAACACAGCGACAGATAATTTAGCTCGTTTGTATATATATACGAGTGTCGTTTTTATCGGTCAATGCATCCAGCGCGCAGCCAGCCGCAGCCTCGAGCGATAATTTCGAAACGAGCGAGGCGCGCAACACAGATCGTTGATCCACGATTGCGCATAACACGAATATATAATAATACAATAATGTGCCGCTCGGAAGCGCATTTCGACGAAATACGTAAAATGCAACGTTTTTCGGCGCGCGTATGATTGCGCACTCTCGATATGCGCGACGAGAGAGAGAGAGAGAGAGACAATGTGACATCCTAAATTTTCCGCCACTTGCCCCTGGAAATGCTCGCGCGCGAGGCTCGAGTGAAAGTAAAAAAGAGGAAGAAAGAAGAAGTGCAGCCGATCCTGCTGCACTCAGTCCTACCCCCCTGAGCGGGTGCGCGAGTCGAGGGTCTCGAGTTGAAAAATGCGCCCCCGAGTACGTTACACATATATACCTTTACGCGCGTATAAAAAAAGAGCATAGTTCCACGCCACCGCGTATTGTTAGCGCCGGCTCGAAACGAAAAAATCCCTCCCGTGTGCCTCTGAGAGAGAGAGAGAGAGACGCGTAATCGAATACGTCGATTTTGCACTATATACTACGTAGAGCCTCGCTCGCTGCGCGTTTATACGTATTTCGAGCTGCGGAAAAAAGACTCCGGAGAGAGAGAGAGAATGTGTGTGACGTTGTCGCGCGCGGATATAGATACGACAATTTCTCTCTCTTTCTCTCTCTCGATACGTATATCGCTTTGGCTTGGCATCGAGCACGTTTGTCTTGTCAAAAAAAAGAAAAAAAATATGTATCGAGACGCTAAAGTAAATCGGCAGCAAATGCACACGAGTATATGTGCAACCATATATATAGAGCCAGAAAAGCATCGCGAGAACGAAAAGAGAACGATTGCACGCGCGGATATATTTTTACTTCTTCTTTCTATTCTGATACTGATCACGTTTCGGGAAAATCAAAGTGAAACGCGCGCGAGTTTTCGAGAAAAAAAAAGGGCTTCGATGCCCAGTAATAGGGGGAAAAGAATTACAGCTACGCTAGGTGTGCGTGTGTGTATATAGTACAACTTGTAATAAAAGGAGAGCTGCTGCTGCTCCGTGTGTTTCTTTTACTTTTTTTTCTACATAATAATCCCCTTTATCTTGCCGGTGAGTAATTAAAATTTCCTCAACGAGCTGATTCTCTCGTTCAACATCATTTAAAGAAAAAAAACACACACAATGAAAAAAAAAAGAAGGTAAGAGAAGGATTATAGAGAGAGAGAGAGAGGGAGGGAATAACCTCGGGCCTCGTTAAACATTTATTTTTTAATTTTCGTTATACGCGCTGCATCGTTTATCCCCCCCCCTTCCTTGTATAAATTTGAATGCCTCGAGAGCGCAGCGGAAGAAAAGAAGAAAGTGCAGCAGCACCACCATCAGCTGGGGAAATAGGTAAGATCTCTTTTGGTACCTTGTAATCGATAATTTAATCGACACCGAGTCGTTTTTCAAAAGCAATAAACAAGACGCCACTGCTGCACGAGGACGAATTAGAATTGGTCTGGGTCCGGAAAAGACGAAGGCAGATAGAAAAAAAAATTAAAAATAAAGCTGATTTATCTCGGATCGATCTCCTCTATATATCTCCGAGAGGGAGGGAGGTAGAGAGAACGAGGAGCGATTCCGGATTTGTAAAAGACTAATCCCTGCGAGAGCTAACAATTGATTTCTCTTCATTCAAGGCTCTGTGTGTGTGTGTGTGTGTGTGAGTGTAGGCTCTGTAAATTGTGTGCGCGCGAGCTATATATATTATACATCGGCGCGCGCGGCGTTCTCTTCTGGATAAATAAGATAAAACTCGCCTCTAGCTTCTTCGAGGCTTTAACGTCGAAGAGCCCCGAACGAAGGAATAAGAAGAAGAGTCGCTTTGGATTTTAGCGAGCTTAGATTGATCGATAAGCAGCTCTCGTGCGCTATATTATATACTTATAACGTCGCGCTCGACAAATAAGTAAATAAATAAAATAAAAAGGAGAGCAACAATTTCTTGTATCGTATATACTTACTGGCTTGCTCCCTGGTATTGTCGGCCGGGCTCAGAGTCTCACGCATGCTCATGGACATGAGCAGCTCCTGGGCCAACTTCTGCTTGCCGAAGGCCACCGCGCCGCTGGTCACCATGATGCACTCGCGGCCCTCCAGCTGACACTCGGCGACCTGCTCGACGATGCTGGCCAGTCGGCCGAGGGCCAGGCCGTGGCCGTCCTCGCGAGTGATCACGGCCGAGCCGAGCTTCACGACGAGGCGTCGCGCGTAGCGCAGTTGGCTGCGCTCCGTGAAGGTGGCCCGACGCGGCCGCTCGCCCGTCACCATTTCCCGCCGCATATCCACTCGATTGCCCTGCAAGTTGATGATGAAAAAAATGAAAATATTACGGTGTGTACGTGCGTTTGTTGCGAGTGCTCATGGATGCTTATGTGGGTGGATGACGAAACGCGTGTACGCTTTTTCTGTATACAAACACGCCCATATATATGTATCTCTTTGTGTACATAATAGAGAAACTACTCTAATAAAACCGGCCACTATATAATATACGGTACAATAGGTATTATATACGGCCATCGTCGTTATCGTATCGATGATGAGCGACGCCGAAGCTAGCGTTTCGTCAGAAATTTGTCGAGCTGCTGCTGATGCAGTGTATACGTCCGAGTACAGAGAGAGAGAGAGACAGGTATAAAATCGATTACGAGCCTCGAAACATATCGCGCTGACATTGAATGTATTTTTAACCCGAAAAAAAAAACGAAGAGAAAAACCTATCGGTGAAAATCAGACTGAAGAGAGAGAGAGAGAGAGAGAAAGAGGCGTGCCGAGCGAGCTATAAAGTGTTTGTATATTATATACGTGTGGGTGTGAGAGTGACAGACGACATTCTCTTATCTCTCTTTCGATCAGGTTGAATCTAGAAATAGGTGCCTACAATTGCGATCGCGTCGCGAGATTCTCCAAATTAGCGCATATCATTATCTAATCACGCGTACAACTATATACACACATTCGCAGGCCCCCCAATAGATCTGAGTTTGTTGTATATATACGGCGGCTTGGAATATATTGTTATCGCGCATCGCGACGCGTGCTTTTCATGCCGGGCTCTGAGCTGCTGCTCGTCGCGCAGCAGTGATACACACGCGCGCATCTCTCGGCTTGGCCCGCCGCGCCGAATTATTATTGCAACGTCTCGCCGCGCGAGCCGCGATAACAATGTTTTGGAAGATTTTTCATTATACAAATGTTTCCATAAAGTATATTTGTACACGCGTGTATGCACACGATTGATCGATAATAATAAAAAAAAAAAAAAAATAACGGCGCGGGCCGGCTACTGGCGAAAATCAGCGCGTGCCATTTTTTCTCTCTCTCTCTCTCTCTCTTTCACCCACTTATAATATATATAATATGTATATTATGTATGAAAAGTGCGAAATGCAAATGCTCGGCATGTACGTACGTATACGAGCATTGCTTGACAATCATAAATTCGAGCTTTCAAAGGGGCGCCGCTGCTGCAAAGAAAAAGCGCCCGAAAAGCGATTTTCTCTCTCTCGCTGCTGCCGCTGCAGCTGCCTCTCACTCTATCGCAGCTTGCAAAAGCTTTCGTTGTAATACGTTCCCTGCGCGCGCCGAGCTTGTATTATATATAAAATTCTCTCTTTTTCGACTTTTGCACGCGCACAAAAACAGCACACACACGCACATGCACATGCACACGCGCTAGCGAGAGTACATAATGTATAGTTACCCGAAAGCCCGATAAATCCACGTGTGTTATACGCGCGCGTAGAGCTGTGCATGTGCGTGTGCAGCAGCAGAAAAAATATATATATATAATATCCGGAACAAAGAGTCGAGATTTTTCATGCGAAAGCTGCTGCATCATAGTCGTCGTTCGTCGGTATAAGCAGCATTTATCGCGCGCGCCCATCGCATCATTTTTTTTTTTTTTTTGTTCGAGGCGTCTTTTTTCATCCCGACCGACCGATGCGTTCAACTATTACATGCATTATATTATGGAGAGAAAAAACGTACATAGTAGCCAGGCGCTTCCGAGCTGCATAAATATTATACGGCTTTGAAACGTCTTCGCGCGTTGCGATATGAAACGATGTCCGTAGCTCGCGCGCAAAAAAAAAGGTGCTGATGCAAGAGAAGCACGAGGTAAAAATTCTCCTTGTTACTTACCGCCAGCGAGTTGATGGTGAAGGGCAGCTTGGACGAGGAGGTGGAGTAAGAGGAGGCGGAGGAGCCGCGCACGGCCGTGGCCAGGCCCTTTTTGGCCGAGCTCAGCATCAGCAATCCCGTGTAGCCCATCCTGTGTGCAGATGATCCTGTTCTAGATGTAGAGATAGACGTGTAGACGGCGACGGCAGCGAAAAATTTTACAAGCCCGCGAGGAGAAAACTATTTTTTTCGGTAACACGGAGCAGACTCATGTATTATATGGGGGGATCCAAGCGCGGATGATGTAAAAGTGTGACTGACTGACTGACTCGACTACTCGTTCGTCGCTTGTTCGGTCAACCACTGACGATGCGCCGCTCGTCGAGATGCTCTCTTATCGCTTTCTTGCGGGATGAGAAAAAGACACAAGCAGAGCACGACTTGGGTCGACTACGACGAAGACGTTGTTGTACACACACTCCACCGCCGCCGCTGCCGTTACCGCCGTCGATGATGATAATGAATAATCGAGGGGAAGGGGTGGGGAGAAAAATCGAGCGTAAGACAGAGAGAGAGAAACCTCACAATTATGACTAGGCGCGCACATGCGCTAGCATTTGAGTATGTGGCAATCGCACACGCAATATGCATCACGCCGTCGCCAGCTGATCGAGAGAGTAAGTACGCGGGATCTCTGCGCGGAATATTTTTTTTTTACTTGCATATGGAAAAGATCTCTTCTTTTCGGCTGTTGTTGTTGTTGTTGTTGTTGTTCCTTTTTTGCCTTGTCGCGTGTATCGTGCGTGCGGCAGGTATGCGCGCTACCGAAAAAATTACCCGCGCGCAGCCGTTCGGATTGGAATTTGCCCCGACTTGGCGGCTGACTTGGGTGATTTGGCAATTGTATATAGCGTATCGATCGACCGTGTTTGCCACGATATATCTTATCTGTGGAAATAATATGGAAGAATTAAATTCCAAATTTGCAGATACTTTTGACCGAAATAACACGTAGGCCAGCTATATATGTTTTCATGGCTATTATCAGTTAACTATATATACATAAAGACACGAATCTTTTGTCTCGCTCGTTATTTCAAACAGCAGCTATCGCTGTATTATCGTCGTTTCATCTCTCTTTTCGATGCATATGTATATCCAATACTTATATCGAGAACGATTGCAGGTATAGTTATTGTGAATCCGATCCACTTTTCTGTCGAGCCGTTGAAAGCCCCCGCGAGATAGGTACACACAGCCGACGTAATTGCAGCGTAAATCTTATCTCGCGGAGATCGCAGTCAAAGTGCAATACGCATTTCGGTGGAGGGAAAATCTCGTTACATCGAGTTGCAGCCACAGCAGCGATCCGCTTTTTTGTCACACACACACGCATATTGTATAAATGCTCTCGCGAGTTTAATACATAATGACAATCGTTTCCGTATTTATCACGAATAGCGCATAAAGCACGCGTTGGCAAATGATATTTGACGTCTGCTGCTGCTGATGCACTGATGCACCACCAGCACGCGTCGAATTGCACGACAGAGAGAGAGAAAATAATAAATCGGAAAACGCGCGCAATCATCAATTGTTTCCAACTCTGCTGCAACAACAACGACGACGACGACGACAGCAGCGACAACGACGAATGATATATTATTATATTTCGGCCCCCCGCGGGGGGGAGATATACAACATTAAAAAAAAAAAAAAAGAAAAGAAAAATAACGGCATACACAGCTCACGCGCGTCACGTGAAAACGACGATATTGTATTATAATGAACGAGCTGCATGTATATAGTGCAGTCGCCGATATACATATATTGCGCTGATTACGAGCGAATAACAATAAAAAAAAGCTCTGATCGGCTCGTGCATATAATATAACACACATATACATTAAATCGCGAAGTCAGATAGAGTAACGAACACAGCAGCAGCAGCAGGCCGCAACAGTAGTAGTAGAGGTGATTATCCCTTGGCCGATAAAGCGTAAACTCACCGCAGAGAGCTGAGCTCGTGGCCGACGCGTGTGTGAGAGCTGCTGCTGCAATATATATACTATATAATATATCGTCGAGGCACCTACTGCCGCCGCTGCTTTATAAGCTCTGTGAGAATAAATAAAAAAAAAAATATTTTTGCGCTCTAGTTGTCTCGTTCGGGCGCCACTTCGATTTCTCTCTCTCTCTCTCTCTCTCTCTCTCTTGAGTCTCTCTTCCTCGTATATATACGTCTATAGGCGAAAACATATCGAATATGCTGCGAGTCGTCCCCTCGAATATACACAATCGCTTAACTTTAATATTAAAAAACTAATGGCCATGGACGATGGTTAAATTTTTAAAAACTCCGCGTGTATATACTCGTGTATACATGCTTGCCAGCTGAACTCCGAGAGATGCGTGCGTGCACCTCGCTCATGTATAGGTATTATATCTTTTTGTCTCGGGCCGCGCTTGGCAACGCAGTAGTAGTAGTAGTATACGCGCATCGCTATATATCCTATATACACGCGTGCGAGTTGGCGACCAGCTCTGAATAATAAATCGCGAGCCTCGGCCGCGTACACGCTTATACATATTTCTATTTCTATCGCGATATACGTCTCTCTCTCTCTTTCTCTCGTTCCGTAGCGAGGCTCTTTTTTACCTTTGCGCAACATCCTATTTGCGCTCGCAGACTTATAATTTGTTTGCCGGCGTGAATAATAACGAGTAGGTAGGTGGTGTGCAGTAGCACCGGTGAGGCTGCTGCCACTACTCTCTGTGCGAATGTTTGCGTGTGCGGTATACTTAGCTAGATGCAGCTGAAGAAACGCGAAGCGCCGATAAGTGGTACTGTGCTTGCAAATAAGGGTCCTTTTGAAAGCTGACCAGGCGTCACAGATTACACACGTCGAGTCGTCCTCGTCGTCATTAGAAATCGAAGCTTATTCTCATTAGTGCCGTACAGCTTCGCTGTTCTTTTTCGCCCGACAAAGAGGATCTTTTGAAACGTAAATATCAAGTCTCGCGACCGTAGAAGAAGAAGGCTTGAAAATAGTGTACACGGGTGCAGGAGGGAAAAATTAATCTTCACACGACAATGCATTGCGAAATATAATGCGCTGCTGTGCGCGAGAGGAGCGGCTTATTTTTCTAGCTGCACCGCCTTGCCTCATGCTGTTGCTACACCATCTATCTATCTATATACACCAGCCTAGTGCCTGCCTAGTCCTGGGGAGCTGTATATCGCGCATAGACTCTCGAGCTTTTCCGCAATCACTGCGGCTGACGTAAATCTTTTTTCTCTACCCTCTATATATACACTATATATACGTCAATTTTTTAGCCCTTCCTCGGCTCGAGGCTCGTCCTACCACTACTACTACTATTACTACTACTACCACTAGTTCGCGAGAGTCGAGGTGGCGGAACGCGCACAGCAAGATTGGATGGCAGCAACCGGCACGCGCCACATGATGAGAAAAAAAGATTATTGGAAATGCCTGTGTGCAACCCTTATCTATGTATGACTGCGCGCCGCACACCCCCGCCGCCGCCGCTAGGCATTGAATGTAACTTGCGCGCATACACACTGTATATATAGCGATATATATGCACTCGCTTGCGCACCGCCGCCTGCAGTGCAGTCCAACTTTTGCCTAGTTTCGCGTGTAGCGTGCGGCAAAAAAAAAAAAGGAGTAGAAGAAAAGTATGCGCAGCATTTCGTAAATAGATACATATACGCCGCGTCTTCTATATATATGCAGGGGGAGAAGCTCTTTATTTCGTCGTATCGGCATGCAAAAATATTGCGCGTCGAGTTTCCAACGTGAGAGATCGATACGTAACACGCGAGCGCGCAGCTCGAATTTTCGACCGAATACCTATATATCCCTGGACGCGCGCACTTGCCCTCCCCCGCGCGAACGATAACTTTTTTATACTCTCTCTCTTTTTTTTTACGTTCATTATTGTTATGATCATTATTGTTACCATAATTTTTTGTACGTGTGCGTGTGTGTGCCACCGAGCATAATTTGCTCGCTTATGAGCGCACGACGATGAGTTGTGCTGCACCGTGTATAGCTGTGGGCGAGCACGCGATCGCCACGCTATAATGTACATCCACGTTTTTACACTGTAAGCGCGCACCACCACCCCTCTTTTTTCGCGTTACACTTTGTTGGTTTTATATATCTATATACTTTTTTTTTTTACATTTTTTGCGCGCAAAATGTGTGCCGCTGCCGTTGTTTGCCGCGCGAGTCGAGTCGAGGGAAAATTACACGCTTGTTAAGGAAATAAACGTCGGCTAATTTTTTCAGCCCTCTCTCTCTCTCTCTCTCTCTTTTAGCCGGGAGGCAAATAAATCGTGCGGAGTAGCGATACACAGGGAGCTTGCGAGCTTGCGAGCGCAACGGTGCAATTTTGCTCCGAAAGCTCGCAGGCTCGTGATACGCCAGTATATTTTAATAAATATATAACGATCTTTCCTAAAATAGTCAAATAGTTAGCGCTTTTAGGAGCTTGTCGTCGTCGTCGTCGTCGTCGTCGCATACAGAGGCACAGGACTCTGTCGAGCTGTCAGGAATTTCTAAAATTAAATCGGCGAGGCGCAGCTCGTGTACGTATATGTATAATAATAATAATATATAATGATAAATAGCTGCGACATTTAAAGCGACGGGGGCGCGCGTGCTGGCATATAACAAATATTATAAAAGGCATAAAGGAATGGTAAAAAAGAGACGACGCGGTGGTTGGATGGAGCCGGGCCGATACTCTCTCTCTGTATGTGCAGCGATTCATATCCTCCTCTCTTTTCCCTCCTCTCTCTCTCTCTTTCTCCATAGTCGATGCTGCTGCTGCTGCTGCGTACTACTACTACTCTACCGTGAGCGCGACTGCACACAGTGTGGTGGCTGCGTGGAGTCTGCGCAGTAGTAGATTTTCGCTCCGGAGCTTCATTTCGTCGCTGCAGCAGCAGCAGCAGCAGCTCCAAGCCTCCTCCACACACCAACGTATGCATTTACTACCACTACAAACTCCCCCGTAGAGAGTGCCAAAGTCACTCGCGCCTCGTCTCTCCTCTCTGCTCGTCTCGCTCGTCAGTGCTCTCGAGGTACGCTGCTAAGCAACATTCGGCTCAGGGGGCTACCATGCCACCGCGCCCTGCTGCTGCTTATCTCAACCACCAGCTACGTGCTCAGGTACTCTCACTCACCGCCACACGTATAGTGCAACATATATAACTATACAGAGACACACTGACACGATATACGGACACACTGATTCGGATAAAGCTCGAACCAAACGCACGGATACAGTGACAAAAAAAATAATAGCAGCTCTCTCTCTTTACTGTATACGTGCAAGCTCGCAAGCTCTCGCATTATCCTTGTCCCACGCATACAAACACACACACACAGACACGTTATATTTTCCTCCTCGGCATATTTTATGTAACTCTCGTC